TTTTTCCCCTTCTGTCCTCAATAGTTGATAAATAAATTGAAAAAAATTAAATAAGAATAATATGAATCACAACTTCTTTTTATCCTTAGGACATCATAAAAGGCGTGTATTAAGGGAATAATACTCAATACACTAGAAAAAAAAATTACATCAGAAATAGACCCTACACCAAGACATTTGGTCATAGCGTGGTCATAGCAAGCCAATATACTCCTTGTGATCATACTGGTTTAGAATTATTTTATTAGTCTCGATATTTAAATTGCTAATCGTCTATAGTGAATGTAGACAAGTAATTTATCCGTCTATAATATTACGCACGTTGTGTCTTCGGCATTTCCCAGCTGGTTTCGAACCGGTTTTCGTGTCTCTATTCATGGGTTCGTCACACGGCCGTTTCGCGAGACGGTTCAAGGTCCAAATTAAATGTCAATGTAATTAACTGAGAACTTTGGCGTAAAAAGTAGACATAAGCACGCAAACTTTATTACTTTCACATTTATAATATTAATACAGTTTAATTAGATAAAATTTCAAATTGTATTTTTATTTCAGATTAATATGTTTTTTTTATTATAAATCCAAACCAAAAGTTAACCTTTTCGATGTATAGAATTAGAGAAAATATCGTATAATTTAAGTATAAAAAAACGGGCGAATTGGGTAACCATTTCAAGTTGGTTAAAAATATATAACTATGTGACCTATGGAGCATAATTATTTGCATATTAATTGTAATTATTAAAAATATTTTCCTATTATGCAGTCGTTCGTTTAATTATGCAGATGCGGGCCGGTAGTTGGCAATGGACGCGTAGACAGACAGTAGACGATTGAAAAACAATGCTTTAAATATGTCAAAGAGAATTAGATTCAACACCTGTCGTAATTAGGTCGACATTGAAAAATAATATTTTATGTTCATATATTTTTTTTTCCTAGCCAACATGAATTGCTATTATTCGAAAGTGAAAGTGGTTATTGCTCGGATATTAATAGTCTATATTTATATTTATTTATAATCCTTAGACCCGACGATCGTCACGCTAAGGATTCTTAAATGTCAAATGAAAATATACCTTTAATACATCAAGGTAAAGTTGCTATTTCAACGTTACTGGGTATAATATATAAATAAGCATGCCTTGTAATTTTATAGCTTGACCGGTCATTGTAATTTCAACTCTAATGTGTAAGTATTAAGAGTTCCATACACACCTACATAGTTTTGTAACGTTTCTTACCCGACTGTCAAAGAAAAGAGGGTAATGTTTTTAGGTTATATATACAAGTAGGTATCAATATATATGTTATGTAGATTGAAATGAGAATCATTATCATTATTATTTTACATTATCAGAAAAATTAAATGATTTTTCCAAATAAAAAAAATTGCCTCTCATTTTAACATGGCGCGTCCAGCTGTTATTTTATTAGTATTTTTGATCTACGGATTGAATAGAATCCCTTGAAAGGATTTTTTTTTATGCAACTTAAAATGACAAACAAGCTGACGGCCCACCTGATGGAAAGTGGTAACCGTCGCCTATAGACATTAACAGTACCATAGATATAACAGAGTATACTGTTTCGTTGCGTTGCCATTCCTAAGATCTCAGCTGTTATTCCTCTGTACCCTGTAAATTTACTGCCATATCCCATCCTTCAAACCGAAATATGGTCATGCAAACAACTGCTTCACGGTAGAAACACAAATGGGACAAAGGTGCCCAGGCAAGCGATTTATGCGCAAAGTCTCCCTCGAGTATGCTAATAGAATAAAATATAGAAATAATGTTTATTTAAATAGACTTGTTTGTAAGCTTTTTTAAATCGTATTTTTTATTCTACTAGTGGGTTCGGAATGTTTTTATTTGGTGAGAAAAACCAACAAGAAACTCAACAGTTACTCTTTTCAACCGACTTAAAAAAGAACGTTCTTAATTCGAAGATTTTGAATTCGGTTGTGTTTTTTTGTTTATTACCTCATACCTGCGTCAGTTGTAGATCGATTTGGAAAATTATTTTTTTTATCGGAAAAAACATACTTACAGATTGGTCCTATAGAAATTTTATCAAAATCGGTTCTGTGGTTTAGTTTGGAAATCAAAATAGTTAGTCTTGCCATAATTGAAGTCGGTTCTTTTGTGGGACACAATTTTAATTATCAATTTTGTGAACAAAAATTTACATTTGTATGTATAATGTATGACTGTAGAGTCATACAAATTGAAAGCAGTCATATGTAGACAGACAAGCACAGGTAATATAAACTATTATTATACGAAGGATGATAGATGATGTACTCTAATAAATCAACAACGATGGTTTCCAGGGGGAACCGCGTGGAGGTCGACCTGATAGGGTATATTGCTAGTAATGGGATTGCTAATCTCCATTACTAACAATCCCTTCCCCCGGGTAATGCTGTTTGGTATTTATTTATTACTTGATTTGCCATTTGTCGCAAGTTAAAAAGAAATAATTATCAACCCACTTTAAAAAAGGAGTATTAAAATTTGTCGGAATCGTTCAATTATTTTAGAAATATTGTTAAAAATTTGATAATTCTATACCGATTAGCTGTTATCCGCGGCTTTACATGCGTGGTGTCGAGTTTTCCCTTTAAGTTTAAATTATCGAAAGTCCCTTCTTAGCAGATGTTTACGTTATAAAATAAATGTAAGTATATAACAAATTTTATCTTTGGAAATTTTCGAATTAATGAAATTCAAATCGTCTTTATTCGAATAGACTTGTTTACAAGCACTTTTAAATCATCATTTTCTAATCTATAGCAGGGTTCGGAAGGTTGTTATCTGTTAAGATATAGGCATTTAAAACCGATTGATTTTGTCTGAAAGTATATTTTATTCTATTTCCTTTCTTAAATTAATGTTTCAACCTATCTGTACAAATAGACGCTTCACGTGGGCGTGTAATAGTGCGTAGTACGAGCGGCTATTGCGAAATCAACAGTACTTTGCAGTTATAAATACTGACACCGATTTTTTTCCTATAATCCCCGTGTCATTGGCACATTGTACAGGCACGTACAGGGTGTAGCCGAAAGAGAATATTACTAATATTATAAATATTAAAGCTTCTAAAGATATTTAATTTTTTTTTTAATGGTGAACTGATTCTCTCGCATATTCTCGTAGCATATAATTAACTATTAACCCTTCTTTGTATAATAGTGGAAATCTCCATCATAACATTGAATGCCCAAAAATTATATAAAAGAACAAGTTCACTTTAAGTTGATCGTGTCTGGATACCTTTTTAATGTCCATTGCAGAAAAAAAAAACGTAGCTGTCAAATTTAGTTTTTTAACCATTTTTCCTTTAATTTTGAACATGAATTATATATAACCTTGATTTATTTCACTAATAAAAAAATTATGCAAAGAAGGATTAATTCTTATATTTTACTGAACTAGGTGTTCATTTGCGAAGTCCATATAATTGGTTATTTGATTAGAATTATTTTGTTTAATTCCGCTACCATTAGTATGTGTGTGACTGCCAACACTCGAAGATTGACCACCACTAATACTACCAGAAGTTCAACACAATTAATTCGTGTATTATTTATTTTATTTTATAATTACATCCTGTATAATATAAGACGACGAAATGATCATAAAAAAAGATTCCTTTTAAATAAACTTATTGAATAGTGTATTGGCCATTGTAAATAATTATAGAACAAAAAGCGGGGTCGATGCTCTCTCAGTAAGTAGGGCGTAATGGTTGAGTTTTAACTCTTTTTTTTTTTCATTCTTTACTGAATTTATTTTTATCTGTATTATGTAATACTAGCTGTATCTCGTGGCTGTGACTGCCTGTATCAACCCTTTGAATATATTTAAATAAAATTATGTATACTACATTAGTATATAAAATAGATTTTTAAATTGTTTTTAATACAAAATAATGGGGGGAAAGGGATTGTTAGTAATGGAGACTGAGAATCCTATTGCTAGCAATATACCCAACCAGGTCGACCTCCTCGCAGTTCTCTCTGGAAACTATCATGGTTAATTCTTGATGAATTCATCATGATGGGCTAACTGGCCTGTTTTCATTCTCATCTATTACCCTTCACTGGTGCTCCGCCAGCGTATCCCGTTAGCGCAGGCGGGGTTACCATACCATTTTCACCTATCAAAAAAAATACAAAATAATGCGCGTCGTTTTTAAATGCTGCGATTAAAATTATGATATAAGTGGATACTTTAAACGTATATGTCTATATATATTCTATTATAATGTATAAGTACCGCCTTTGTAATTTAAAATGTTCATCTCAAAGGTTGACTGGTAGAGAATGCTGCTAACAAATTAAAATATGGTATAAAAGGTAGATTAGGTGGGTTTATTTGGTCAATAAACTTATTTAAATAAAAATAAATAAATACATCTATTAATCAAAATTAAAAGAAAACAAAGAGACTGTCTAATTCTGTTTATATTTTTAAATTTTTAAAAGGAGTTTACAATGAAAATATAAAATAAAACATAGTGTTGCAAACAAGCTGACGGCCCACCTGATGGGAAACGATAACTGTCCCCTATAAGCATCAGAAACAACATGGACGTCAAATAATACTTTGTGGTACCCATGACACGAATCATACATTGCCATTCTCGAGGGCTATGGTGTAATGACCACGTACCTTGTAATTTCACTGGCGTACGCCCACCCTTCATACCGAAATACAGCTATGCAAGCTGAAACACGGGGTGGGACAAAGGTTGCTGTTCGGACGAATTTTATACATAATCTTTCTCTGTTATATAATAATAGTTTAGAAACGGTAAAAAGAAACGCGCATCTCACGGCCACTCATGACTAAGGGTCCCGGATGGCCCCGAAACTAGTCGAGTTTACTCGACTAAAATACACGGAAATCCGGTTCTTATATTAAAAGGTAAAAATAAACTTAGCTTGTTTAGCAATTAGTTAAATTGATTTGGGGTTTTATTTGTTCTAGTGCGTCGATATCGGAGAGCGGCGACAAGCAAGAGGAGGGACAGTTGAAGCAGTATCACGTGGAGCAGCGGTTTGCCGACCGCCGCTACAAAGTGACCAGCGCCAGAACATACTTTTACCTGAACGAGGCGTCCTGCGAGAAGAACATGGAGGCGTTCTTGAAGAGTATTGATGCTGTCGCTGGTGAGGCGTCAGGGTTTTCTTTTATACCGCCAAGGTGGCAAATAAGCATACGGCCCACTTGATGGCAAGCGGTTAATGTACCATATAAACGCCTGCGATACCAGGGTGTTTTTTTTGGGTGAAAATGGTATGGTAACCCCGCCTGCGCTAATGGGATACGCTGGCGGAGCACCAGTGAAGGGTGATTGATAAGAATGAAAACAGGCCAGTTAGCTCATCATGTCGAATTCATAAGGAATTAGCCATGATAGTTTCCAGGGAGAACCGCGAGGAGGTCGACCTAGCTAGGTTGTTTGCTAGCAATGGGATTCTTAGTCTCCATTACTAACAATCCCCTTCCCCCCGATACTCGGGTGTTGATAGTATAAAGCACGCGTTGCCGACCCTGAAGAAATGTTTTCACCCTTTTTTGGAAGATCCCCATGTTGTAGTCTCTTGGGAAAACCTCTTATCTTATTAATACAATAAAGTTGTTACTAAATGGCGTCTGTACATGGGAGACATTTAAGAAAAAAATATGTAAAGAGTTTTAATAACACTCCAATAGATGCCAAAATCAATTTTTTTAGAAATTTTGTCTGTTGGTTTGTTCTGGTATCACGCAAAAAGTAATGCACCAAAATGGATGTGGTTTTGACTCTTGTATTTTGGAAGGTTTAATTTAAAATCTGGAATATGTTTCATTTATACGCCATCTAAAAGTGGTACATTCAATTGGTTTTCCTACTTTTGAAATCCACGCGTACGGAGTAGCAGGCATAAAGCTAGTTCATTATGTTTTCCTCTAATTGTTTCCCGCGACTTAGTTCGCGTGAATCAGTATATTTATAAATAACTCTGTGTCATGTTACGATATAACCACCTGTGTACCAAATTTCGTTCGGCCGTGTGGTCCCAGCATAAAATGGGCCACTCCTTCCTTTCTCGTGGGTGTGGTAAGAGGCGACTAAGGGAGGGCAAGGGATGGGCAGCAGCGTCCTTCTTAAGACATTTCCAAAGCCTGACTGCGGTTGCCAATCCGCCTGCCAAGCGTGGCAACGACTGGCAAAATCTTCCCAAGGGGGAATCTTATGTCCAGCAGTGGACAGTTTATATATATACATAGATTTTCATCTTCTATTTTTTACATTTCAGGCGTAACTAAAAGCACGGGTCTTATGGCCGTTAAACTCACTGCGCTCGGCAGGCCTCAGTTGTTGGTGAGTACAATCTGGGAAATTCTTTTGTATAACTATTGAAATAGGAACAAACCTCATGGTACAAGCATGCATAAATGCACATACCCACATTCGTGAATACACCCAGACATAATTTATAAAACATTGGAAATCACAAAGTTATTCATTTTGAAATAAGGCATGGTACAAGTACACAGCCCATCTGATGGGAAACGGTTACCGTAACTTATAAACATAGGCGTAAACTGGGTCTGTGAGATAATCATCACTGAAGAAACCTTTATCTCTCTACGTATTTTAACATACAGTGACACAGTCGTAAAGCATGCTCACGAATAAAGTCTCCTATCGAATTCGAAACTAGTCGGGCATCTCTGTATTTTAAAATGTGAGTAAAACTGATGACATTATTAACTCACGATAGTTGTGAAAATTTCAATAATATTTCAACTCTTTTTTTCTTCTTTTCTGATAATAATGACTTTGTCTTTCATATTCCAGCTCCAATTATCAGAGGTGATAATGAAGGCTCGTAACTACATGCAGCAGATCGGTGGTGGTACTGGTAATGTACTAACCCACCATAAGACGATTGAAGACTTCCAGAGGTACTTCGGCAGTCACAGCAACAAGCCAGAGGTGCAAGAATTTATGAAGAAAATCACCTCGGACAAGGAGGGGTGAGTAGATTTTATATGTCTTCATTTTGTGACTGACCATGACAATTTATATAGGCGTAATTAGGGAGAAGTCCGGCCTTACTGTCCGACTTGACCCACTGAAACTGCGCAGAGATGTTGCATCTCTGTGCAGAAGATGCACCGAATTTATCATGGGGAGTGTTCTGAGAAATTGTTCGGATTGATACCTGCTGCTGATTTTTACCACCGTACAAACTAAAGTTTCATCCCAATCATCTGGACGAGTGGCTGTCTTCCATCGTGGGTTTTTCAAAGCACTTTCTTCCACGCACAACCATCCTTTGGAATCTACTTCCAGCAGCAGTATTTCCGAACCGATACGACAACATAATCTTCAAGAAAAGAGTATATTCCTTTTTAAAAGGCCGGCAGCACACCTGCAAATGCCGCTGGTGTTGTGGGTGATCATGGGCGGCGGTAGTCACTTACCATCAGGTGAGCCGCATGCTCGTTTGCCCCCTGTGTTGTAAAAAAAAGAGAAATTAAATGCCCTAAATTAGGTCATCTCAAGCAAGAGATGAAACCACATACTTATTGATCCCTCTAGAAGGATAGTCGATTTCTGTTCTCATCAAAATTGTAATTAAAAGTATGCTACTGTTGATCAGCTGTCCTCTCTAGGTAACATCCTAAGCAACTTGGCCTGTGTATTCAACTATGGAACTCTGCCAATATTAGGAAGACCCCTACTACTCAAATGAAAACATGCACCAAACTCACTTTCTTGTTTTATGGTATTACATGGTTTTGTATTGTCTTTATCCGTAAACTTATAGTTCATATATTTAGTCCTTTATTATCTGGTTATAAAGGCCCTTTTAAAGACGTGTCTCCTTTCTAATTTATTTGGGAAAAACTCATAGGAGTGTAGAATGAGCATGGTGATCGATTCACCCGTTTATATTGTTCTGCTGTGACCTCTTTTAGAGAAGACCTCTTTAAGAGGTAAAGTTTTGAGACTTTACGACATTTCTTTTGAGAAGGCGATTGAGCTTTCAGGTAATTTCCAATTTAGCTATGGATAAACCATGAATATCTCGCACACTGGTCTTTGTTTGAAGTTTCATCGTCTGATTGGTATAAAAGTGGAGACCTGTTATAAACTTCTGATAAAATACAAAACATCTTTTGTAGTGTCAACTCTTGTAGTTTTAACTTGTCTTTGTTTCTGGTATCAGTTTATTTTCTTCTGCACTTCGACTTATTGGATTTTTTTTGTTCTTCAACCATTTACTTTATATTTTGTCATCAGAGACCAAAAACATAACGAAATAGACTTACTAGCTTCGAATATGCTTTGCTATATATGAGTATTCTTGATTTGATTCGTGATGGGTAACTCTAAGGATAATTACTGCTCTTTTTTATAAAGTCGCCCTCTATTACCAAGTGTTTCTATGTCTTTATTATACATGAAGTCCTCTGACATATCGTAAGGGATTGTTAGTAATGAGGATTAGCAACCATATTACTAACAATATACCCTATCAGGTCGACTTCCTCGTGGTTTCCCCTGGAAACTATAGTGATTGGTTCATTGATTTTTTATTTTGATTTTTGGTTGATTTTGATTTGCTGATTTTTGAATTTGTCACGGTAGGATAATTAAACGGTTTCATCTTCACTTATCATTCCTCACTGGTGCCTCGCCAAACTATACCGATAGAGCAGGCGGGGTACCATTTTAGTATCATTAATTGATAAAAAACTAACTATTATGCGTTCTTCCCATGTGGTCCCAGCATAGAATAGGCCACCTCTTTTTTCCCGTGAGTGTCGTAAGCGGCGACTAAGAGAGGGCGAGGGATGGGAAACAGCGTCCCTCTTAGAATATTTCCAAAGTTTAACTGCGGTTGCCAACCTGCCTGCCAAACGTGGCAACTACTGACAAAACCCCCCAAAGAGGGGCTTATGTTCATTAGTGGACAGTTAAATCTTTATTTGCATGATTTTTTTTATTAGTGAAATAAATCAAGGTGATCATAATATATCATAATCATGTTCAAAATTAAAGGAAAAATTGTTAAAAAAATAAATTTTACAGCTAATTTTTTTTTCTGCAATGGATACTAAAAAAGTATCCAGATACGATCAACTTATAGTGAACTTGTTCTATTATATAATTTTTGGACATTCAATGTTATGATGGAAATTTCCACCATTATGCAAAGAAAGATATATGATATGATGATGATGATACGTTCGCCCTTTGCTAAAGTCGCACCAAGCAGTGCGTATTATAAAAGAAGGCAGTCTAATTTTAGAGTGTAATCTGACTATTCTAAGATTTTTCAGTTGTAGTGACGCAACTGTAAATGACAATAGTTTGTATTGCGACATTACACTTGTCAAAATAGTCGGAGAGCTTACGCAGTAAACGTTGAATGATGCTTGCTACTGGACATATTACACAACGCCATCTAGTTCCAAAATAAATAGAGATCGTAATATGGGCGCTAAATAGCTTATATATCAACATCATTATCTTACCAGCCGAACCATTGAAAGGTTTTACCATAGTTGCTACGCTTAGAAGGCGGATTAATAACCGCAGTTAGGCTTTGGTGATGTTAAAAAGAGACGCTATTGCCCATCCCTCGATCATTAAGTTCCCTTGGTTGCCTCTTACGACATCCAAATGGAAAGGAAGGGATTGCCCATTCTATGCCAGGACCACACGGCGATATAAACAGTTTACATATAGTATGTCAATTAACAGAATTCATTCTTAAAAACTAATATTCATTAATAGGGACTGAAATTTTTATTTCTTAGAAAAAAAGGTTTATGATACCAAAAACTAAAAAAAAAAATAAAGTAAAATTCTTGAAAAAAGAACAACCTAATAGTAATACATAATAACAGATATGTACATACATTTTAATGTGTATTGCCATAGCGACACAGTTACAGGTATTATCGAATTTATTTGACCCTAATTTGACGTATTCATTTTACCCTATTAATGAATATTAACACTAGTTTTTAAAAAGGATTTCAATAATTAACAAACTTTGTATCTATGTTTATTAATACGTACACATTACATGTAGGAAACACGAATACAAAGACAATCGGAAGAATTGATATATAACAGGGATAGATAGAGAGGTAATATTTTTAGATTAACTGCGTATCAAATTAAATATAAACTACACACTCCAAAGGACTTGGCATGAATATAGATAGATAAAATTATTACCATCTTTTTGCACTGAGTCACCACCATAATAAATAAGCTGGCCAAAAATAAAACAACAATAACTCGTGAATAGGAACATGACAATACGTTCTGTGATGTTTATGGCAATGGCGTATGTCTATGAGCGACATCGTTAACATTTTCCATCACATGGGCCTTAATTTTGTTTGTTATTTTACGTTACGTTAAAAACTTACATCATCATCATCATCATTATTGTATCAACCGTCATATGTCCACTGTTGAACATAGGTCTCATCATATTTGCGGTGTTATAAAAGTCTTTAATTTATGTAGCATTAAGTAATGCAAATAAATTATCTATCTATCTAATTTAAAAAAATTACAAATTTATTATCGAGATTTATCCCGATTCAGATTACATTTAGATTACAGGTAAATAGTAGCTATATACCTGATTTTTATGGCCAACGTTTCGACATAGACTGCATCATGTCGATGTCCAGGTTTGAAGTGAACGGCGTCTTCTTTGGACAGTCCGCGCTATTAATGTTATATGTGTAAACAATGCGGAAGTTTAAAATTAACTATTTCAGAAATTTACCAAACCCTACTGGATATGAAACTCGATAGAATTTTTAAACATTCATATTTTTCTTAATCGACATAAGTACATTAATTTAATGCCAAATTTTATATCTTTACAAAAAACTAATCCAGCAGTGGACAGTAAAAGCTAAAACGACGATTATAATGCGTATATCAATTACCTAAATAGTTTTCTTGACATATTTCGTGCATTGCATTATTTAATCCCTGTCTCTCGGCCCACAATAATTATAACAAGCCGGTCGAGACTTCACTGATCTGTCATTATCTTGGCGTATGTCCAACCAACGCATTGATGGTGTCTCAGTCAGCTAAAATATTTTAATGAGTCTTGTATGACACAAATTTTGAGAAATTTTTACATATTAAACGTAACTCTGCATTTGACGCTCACTTCAATTTTTTTAACGTCGTTTAAATATGGAATGTATATGTTTGACGCAATTGCCAGGACGATTTAAATTATTATTTCAAATTGAAACTTATTAACCTATTGCAGAAAGGTTTGTTTATAATTAAAAAAAAAATACTTTAGTATATATTTTTTTTTATTTATGGCTCCACCGGGTTTTTAATGATTTTCTTATAATTTTCGTAGGGATCTCTAAAAAATATAGCCTATGTAAGTTGGTGATAATGTAGCTTTTTATAAATGAAAGAATTTTTAAAATTAGTTGAGTAATTTTTGAGTATATTCATTACAAAATCTTTCATTTTTATTATACTTTATGTGTATATATATATATATATATATATATATATATATAAATTTGATAAAGGTACTTTCCTAATTAAACAGTACTATCTACTTGTACAACAATTAGTCCATTACCTTAAGGTTATTCTGAAAAGATTGCTTTCAGCAATAAGACCGCCTAACTGTATCGTTACATTTATTGTCTTGTTTATTCACTATATTATATAATGCAAATTTATTTGAATGAATGAGTATACTTTAGTATACTCGTTCATCCGTTCATTCATTCATTTGTATAGAATGAGATAATAATCAGGCGTTGTGTAAGTTTCAGTGTGCTGCACATATTCCCATGGGATCGGTCAGTGACCTTTTTTTCTGTTGTAAGCATGGTCTCGCATTTGGCTAGTCGAGTAATTGAAAACTGTTTCAGCGTTACCGAGTTATAAGTGTAATAGCCAGAGTTGGTCATCGTCAGCATCATTTCAGCCGTTATTTGTCCAATGCTATACGTGATTTTGTGGGGAAAGGGATTGTTAGTAATGGAGATTAAAAATCCCATTGCTAGCAATACACCTAACCAGGTCGACCACCACGCGGTTCCCCCTAGAAACTATCATGTTTAATTCCTAATGAAGTCATCATGATGGGCTAACTGGCCTGTTTTCATTCTCATTTATCACCCTTTACTGGTGCTCCGCCAGCGTATCCCATTAGCGCAGGCGGGGTTACCATACCATTTTCATCCAACAAATGCTATACGTGGGCCTCTTCCACAGAATGCCATAAGAATCATCAACTCCATAATAATTTCTCAGTTACATACCCATATCATAGTAGGTACTTAAAACAATATTCAGGGTGAACAATCGTCGCACATATATAAAAGTCGAAACAAGAATCAAATAAAAACCAAGATAAAAATTGAAAGTCTTACTAAAGATTTGAGAGGATTTTTTTTATACAACTTAGAATGGCAAACAAGTTGACGGCCCACCTGATGGAATGTGGTAACCGTTGCCTATAGACATGAGCAGTACCATGGACATAACAGAGTATACTGTTTCGCCCATGATACCCCTCATGCGTTGCCATTCCTGAGGACTCAAGTGTTATTCCTCTGTACTGTCTCAGTTAAAAAAACAAAAAACAGTGTGATCTTAGGCTACAAAAAAAAATTGTCGAAAAGTGATAGAAAAAGAAAATATTTATTTATTTTTTATTTATTTATTTTTCATTTACTACATTAAAAATGTTTGGTACAAAAGGTAGACTTAATGCTATATTATCTCCCAGTCAACTTTTGGAAAAACAGAAATATAATTATATGGTGAAAATTGTTCAAAATTAATGAAGGATGAATAGTTAAAGAACACAACAGTACAGTACAGATAACTATTACATATTATGATCATATAAATATATGTACTTACATTAATACATATATATCCTTCTAAATCTGGTTTAAATTTTTTTATTGTTTTTATTTTTGGCGTTTAACTTTTAATTTATTTGAGGCTCGGTTCATTCTAAATATATTATTAATCACCTACTGATTTTGTGAATGAGCTATTGTCATTAAAAAGTCTTGTATGCAGAATTTAGCGGCGGGATCTTAGGCTATAGCGAAAAATGTTTAGTTCCATTATAAGACTCGCTTAACAGTATGCTAGTGATTTCGTTTTAGATCACGTAGGAAGCAATTTTTCTTATTACTAGGAATATTTTAAGAAATCTATGCTTGTATATGTAAATTGTATCCTTTTTCCTCGCTAAGTCTCTCATTTGGGCCATTGTGCGTATGAGTTGTGGCTACTACAGCCACCCCATCTATCTGTCATGTAAATCTATGCTTAGTACTATTTAAAAGAAAATATTGAGTGCCTACAGATGAGTTAGTTCTTTACTAGGGTTTTTTTATGGTAGAACAATGTGCTCAAGCAAGCTAAATGCGGTCATGTCTTAGATTTCGCTACCACATTCACTAAAAGAGGGCACGACTTTCGCCAAGTCGAGTAAAGCCAAACTACATATTCTCGATGCGACTCACGACACGTATTGTTTTTAATGAATGAATTTTATTGCTAAAAATGTGGTACAATAAGGCTATATGGTAGTATTGCAATGTTTTCACACATTTTGTCATTACTGACGTGCAACAGTCATTACAAAAGTTATGACAAAATAACGTTTAATTAATAATTTGACGTCTATTGGTTTTATTAAGACCCCTCATATTATGTTTTACATATCTCCTATGTAGAAATATTGTCTAGTTACAGTTTTAGTATAGAATTATTATATCTCGATATTTCTATAATTAATATAAAAATATTTTTTCAGAATCGTCCACCTGTTCCCCTGGTCGAACATTCTCGATAAAGACATGGGTCTGTCTGACTCGTTCCGGGTGCCAGACCCCAAGACTGGTCAGATGAGACGACTGATCTCCCAGATTTCCCCCAAAGAGGAGGAGATGTTCAGAAACATGCTGCGAAGGTTGAACCACATCATCCAAGCGGCCAATGAAGTGGACGTGAGGATCATGATTGATGCCGAGCAGACGTACTTCCAGCCTGCCATATCGAGGATCTGTTTAGAAATGATGAGGAGGTATAACAAAGTGAGTATTACGAAGTGAATTTACGAAATAACTAGCCTTTGCCTGCTACTTCGTGCACATGGATTTCAGAAGTAGAAAAACATGATACACACTCGTATACCAGATTTTAAGTTAGACCTTCAGAAATACTACTGTGGAAACCGCATCTCACTCGGTACAGTAATTTTTACATGGATCCTGAACAAACAAACAGATAGATGGACAAAACATCTGTTAGTTTTGTTATATAATTTTTTTAATACCTTCCATATACAGACAACGTTTAGTAATAATTTTATTATATTAGTGAGAGATCATCTGTCATCAGTGAGGATGAATGCAGATCAGTTGGCTCATCCTGATGAATTCAAGAGGGAACCGCGTGAAGTTAGACCTGATAGGGTATATTGTTAGTAATGGAGAGTTAAAACTCATTACTAATAATTTTGTTCGCCCAGTATTGGCGGTACTTGATTAGACAGCTTCATACAGTCTTTATCACATGTTAATGATGTTTTATGATAATGGTTCTGATGATGATGAGGATATTTCCTGATGATGATAATGAGGCGGTTTCCTGATGATGGTGAGGATGTTTCCTGATGATGATATTTCCTGATGTAACGAACTTTTGTTCCTCAGGACAAGTTCCTAGTGTTCAACACGTACCAGACCTACCTGAAGAACACGTACAACGAGATCGTGACCGATCTGGAGCAAGCTCAGCGTCAGAACTTCTATTGGGGCGCGAAGCTGGTCCGAGGCGCGTATATAGAGCAGGTCAGTATGTAATATTTACTATTCTATATTATCCAGACGTAAGAATGCAGTATATCATATTTTTTATGCTGGATAAATTTAAAAGAAACCGATTTTTAAAAATGTTTCATTTATAGAAAGCCACATTATTAGTGAACAGCACAGGCTCAGGAGCGCATTAAGCCCGTCAGAGGCTTGGGGCAAAAAAACTGAATGATGTCCCCAGTTTAAGAAGTTGATGTAATTTCACAACAAGCTCAGTGGCGGACTAAGTCCGTCAGAAGCTCGGTGCCAAAAAAACTGAAGGCCTCTAGTTTAAGAAGTCAAAGTAATTTTGTTAGCTGTTTATTTATTTTATATTTGTATGTATCAGTGTTTATGTTTATTTAAATTCTTGCAAATGAAATTTTAATTAGATTTAAATAAACATACATAGAATATGGATATGGATGAGGAAAATGGAGGCGTTTGAAGGCTTCCAGGACTAAAGGTCCGGGGCGGCCATTTGTCTAATTAATCTTTCTCCCGTGCGAAGACGGGGCGGATTCCTAGTAATATTTTATAAGCGTCTATGGCCCACATGCACTAAGATTTAGGAATTCCTACCCCCATAATTAAAGTATGCTACAGACGAATCTATAGAAAAAAACACTATTGATAGCGAGTCATGAGATAGAATCAGATAGCGATGTGCGTTGTCTTGTTCTTTTTCATTTGAGCGCTGACCGAGGCGATTTTATCGATAGATAAACTTGCAGTCCAATTGAGGTGCTAAGGTACCTCCCATGGCTGTAGCTAGGGGAGCATTGAGGGGCAATGCCCCACCTTTGAAGGTTCAATGTCCTACCCTAAAATGAAAGACCTCAAGAAAATTAAACAGATTCGTTTTCGAAGTCACTTCATTATGGCTTCTACCCTACCAAAAAGTTTTTTTGCCCGACCTTAAACTTGGGTCTAGCTACGGCCTTGGCACCTACTAATCAGTGATTATTCTGAACAGGAACGCGCTAGGGCAGCAGCGATGGGCTACGAAGACCCTACGTGCGAGAATATCGAAGCTACCACCACATCTTTTCATAAATGTCTTAAGGAGATTCTCAGCAGGGTGAGGCACATTGTTTTTGTTTATTATGATTTCACATTTATTTATAAACATATTTATAATTTATTTGCAAAAACATTTCTTTTTCTTACTGATAAATTTTAAAAGTGATGAGGAATATTTTTTAAAAACTTAAATTTTATATATTTATTTCAAGTAAATAGTTACATAGACAGTATATATACTTAGTGCTGCGAAACTGCATTGCAGTTTGTCTGCAGCTTTGCGCTCATTGTACATACAGCTTTTTAAACAATTATAAACTTATATCTTAATCCTATATACTAAACTTATATCTTTATACATACACATACACAGATATGCATATATACACATACATGTACATACAGACACACATGCATATAAAAATGAGACCCATCTGTTCTGCCGGTTTATGTTAGCGATATAATGATGCGATGAAGATGAAGTTATGTTAGTTAACATAGTGATGAATTACAAGAGCACCACGTAAAAGTCCGGCCTCCAGGCTATATTGTTTAATTGGGAAGAATTGTTGAAATTTCTCCGCTCTTATTATCTATTTAGACCTAAGTAATCCACGATATCGTTATGTCGTGGAAGTCGCGATACAATTGCATATATTTCGCTATCATATTGTACCGTAACGGTAAAATCGTACGATATCGTGTCATTTGGCGGTAAATTATAAAATCACCCAATTACAAAAACTTTATTGCCTGACAGATGTCAAGGAAGTCTACTAGTGCATTATCTGAGGAAGAAAAACTCAAGGTATAAATACGTATTGATTATACCGTAATGTATTTTGGCGTAGAATAGGCTGACATCTGTGCTACCATTCTTGTCCGAGGCTTTCAGTATTTTATATATTGTATTTTGGAAATGTACATTTGTTGGTCTTAATGGCGATTTACACTTAACGGCGCGCGGTGGAGTTACGAAGCGCATTTTACTTTACTATGCGACAAAGGAAATTAAAGCATATTCACAGCAATATAGAATTCATATTAGTTTTCAGAATCTAAGTGTAATAAATAATGAGTTTAATCAACGTTACATATAAAACAATTTAAACATATATAATGTGGCGTTTTCGGGCAATTTTTTTTTTAATTAATTATTTTATTTTTGTAGTATAATATTTAATGGGATCCTATGCTAGGTAACGTATAATTTATATGCTTATCAAAATTTTTTACAGAGTAGGTGTAGTTTGCTAAATCATCATCATTACTTAGTAGTCATATTGAAGCTAATATGCCTGTAGTTTCTGATAAGTATATAGTAGAGAATTTTAGAGTATTTTAGGGATTTTAAAGATTGTAGTTTTGTTCAATATATGCATTACATATTTATTTTAACGTGGTTAGAAAAATAAACATACCATAATACGATGGGACATGAATAAGAAGAAACTAAAGAAATACGATTCGAGTTCTATCATAAGGTAAAATCTTAGATTATATAGATAGAGTGTCTCCATAGAAATGCTTCGAGAAAAACGGCTCAACTTTTTCATACAATTTTGCGTGATAAATAGTTATGAGTCCTAATCCTATCCTTTATAACTTTTATATTTATTTTGTCTTATAAATTCTGCATCTTTTTAATGTGTAAACACTCATTTTATTTATTAAATAATACATCAAGATACATTTTATGCGTAAGTATGTACAATATTGATAAAAACACGAGCCAGGTAATTTGACAAATAGCTGACAAAAAGTTGACCCGTTTTTAGACTCGATTCTCTATCTACATAATCTAAGGGTAAAATATATTTATAAGTTATAAGCGGTCGTTTAGGTATCTTGTAAAGAGCCTACATACTTATACATATTTTAAGAACTTAAACAGTATTAAAAGAGAATATTAGGAAGTTGTAATCTTCTTATATCGAAACAACAGTAACTTAAATAAGTAGTTTAGAATTTAACAACTTGCACAGCACAGTCGGTGTAATTGTTAAGGTTCTTCTACAGTGTGGACTGAAGCTTCTGGAGTCAAGATATAGTTTTAATAATAATATTTCATTTAATAATATTTATTATTTAGTTATGTTATTTCAGGCGGAGCAGAAAGGCCGGTTAGGCATCATGGTCGCCTCCCACAATGAGGACACCGTCAGATATGCGATCCAGCTCATGAAGGAGCACAATATCAAGCCTGATGATAAGGTGGTCTGCTTCGGACAGCTTCTGGGCATGTGCGATCACATCACCTTCCCTCTAGGTATGTGCTTACTAATACTATATAAGTAAAGTGAACTTGTATAAGATTTTTTTAGGTATAAAGATGGAATAGTGACCTATGTTTATAACGGGGAATCAAATGAGAAGAAAGAGAAAGATGAGTGAAAATAGAGGATGATGTCACGTCTATTTGACCAACTTGCTAGGAATTAACTACGAAGGTTTTCTAGTGAGATTGCATATATAACTAGCATGCAAGACGAGCGTTCTTACTATTAATAGCCTTGGAAAAGTTACTTGTATATTATTCACATATTACTTAATTAGCTGTTTTCTGAGTCTTGGTACGCGTGCATTAGTATATACAGAGTCTCCTACCCGTATACCAAATTTTGGGTTAAGCGTGATTGAATACAGATATGCTAATATCTTTATAAACTTAATTTTTTTTTTATACAACTTAGAATGGCAAACAAGCTGACGGCCCACCTGATGGAAAGTGTTAACCGTCGCCTATAGACATGAGCAGTACCATGGACATAACAGAGTATACTGTTTCGCCCATGATACCACCCATGCATTGCCATTCCTGAGGACTCAGGTGTTATTAGTCTGTACTCTGTAAATTCACGCCATATCCCACCTTTCAAGCCGAAACACAGCCATGCAAACACAGCTGCTTTATTATTTAAAATATTAGTAGGATTTTTTGTGTGGTGCGCTACGAGGAACTGCGTCGCGTATCTTTCAGTATTGACTTGATTTGCAAAATAATACAGCACCTACCGAGTTCATTTTTAAAGGCGACAAGCAGTCAGTAACCGTGTGGTCCCGGCATAGAATAAGCCATTTCTTCCTTTCCCGTGGGTGTCGTAAGTGGAAACGAAGAATGGGCGAGGGATGGGCAGAAGTGTCCGTCTTAAAACATCTCCGAAGCCTAACTGCGATTGCCAATCCGCGTGTCAAGCGTGGCAACTACTGGAACCCCCCCCCCCCCCTCCCCAAAGGAGAGGCTTATATTCAGCAGTGGACAGTTAAAGGCTGACATTATATAATAAGCAATTAGTGTGTCATTTTTGGAAAATCGTCTCTTTCATGAGAATAATGATTGCCACCTTACATTTCAGGCCAAGCCGGCTACTCAGCCTACAAATACGTACCGTACGGCCCCGTTCTCGAAGTTCTGCCGTACTTATCGCGGCGCGCCAACGAGAACCGCGGCTTCCTCGTCAAAATCAAGAAGGAGAAGAGTCTACTCCTCAAGGAAATAGCCCGTCGTATCTTTACCGGCCAAATCTTCTACAAACCAAATGGCAAATATACACCTGTGTAAATATTTACCTCCAATCAACGCGTCATAGTCTAATTTCTAATTTGCGCTGTACGGAGCACACGCTTGTCGCGTGTAAATTAAATATAGTCCAGTGTGTATTGCGAATCAATTTAAAATCGAACTTGTAACCAATTGTTTAGGATTCGTATTCGAGTGCAGTGCCCTTGGACAACGATCTAATCCCATGGAATGATTGGAGATAGTGTGAGATATGGCTAAATTAAGTGTATAAATTGTTTTAGTGCTTTATTCAGTATTTTATTTATTAACGAATTTAATTTATCAACGCTTATTTCAGTAGAGTTACGTAGGTCGCTGTTATAAACAATTATTACGTGTTAAATAGTCATTGAGTTTGTACGTCCTTGTAATTATAATGGGATTCCGTTAATTATATTGCAGGGTCGTATTTGAAATGTACCGCCATATTTATTATAATGTTTAATTTTTATTTATTTATTTAGAGAAATGTTTGTGATGAACGTCAGTGAAGATACAATCGGTCAATTGGTAGTAATAGTACGCGATGACATTTGTCAATGTGACAACTTTCTTATTTTTATTAAATCCATGGGTCCAAGTGGTAATATGGGAGACTTTGTGACGACACAACCAGGAAATACAGATTTGGCGAGAGTGACGGATTTGTCATAGTGACAAGTGTCAGCCGTGTACGCTAACTCTGACTACTCTCATTTTGTTGTACATGGCCAAAATATTTCACCGCAACTTGGCTTGGTAATGCATCTTTAGATTGGCTTGTCAGGCGAAATTTTTCGATTTCTGTTCAGACAATAACATGTCGAGTTCTGTAGTGTCATTAGAATAATAGGAGGTTTAATCTTCAGTAGTGTATTGGGATCGGTATTTCATTGTGTGAATAGATTAATGATTGTGAATTAATGAAACCAAACATGCGCCGGTCGCACTGTCTCAATTCTCATTTCTATTATACTGGCTTTCTATAGAACGTGAATATGGTGAAGTTTAGTACACCATAATAAATACCAGTAATTAAAGGACACAATAGTAGTTGACTTATGACTACTACATTTATATCATTGATTGAAACTGTCAATTTAACTCAATAATTTGCTCAGTATATTGAACAATAGCTATTTAGGATCCGACAATAAATTATTCAATTAATACATTTCAAACAAAAAAATAATTTAAATTATAAAATAAACGAATGTCAATGAAATAACGTTACTATTTTGAAGATAATGAATAATCATTAATCAGGAGAGATGATGAAAATAATTTCATTAGCGCAGATATGCTAATAAAATATTTATTATTATCATCTCAGTTATAATCGTTACTTATGGCGTTCGTAAATGTATTGGACTGTTGAAATCAGTAGATAAATCAGCTTAGAATGACGATTCTTAGTTTTAAGACAGTTCAACAAAATAATTAGTATGAATCTCACTAAAGTTTAATATGAAAAGAATAAAGAAAATATCTCGTGAGTACAAATATTCACTCAGCGGTTTGTACGAGTATTAAGTTCTTTGGGAATTTATCAATGAAGCTTAAAAATCTTAGTTAACAAATCTGTTGCTAAATCAAATTAAGTTATTTAAAGTGTGACTAGGTTTTTCGAACTCCTTGGGATTTCATTGTTAGCCATCACGGCATTACAGGTAAAAGAATGTTTAAATGAAACGATTTTTGTTTGTTGAGGTTAGGTTATGTTTCATTAAATTAAGTAGGTCAAAGCAATCTATAATTTATTTATATTTCTCTCATGATTAATTTATTATGTTTAAAATTTTTAATGATTATCTTTCTGCGAGTTTACGATAAACCGATCCATATTATTATAAATATTAAAGCGGTTAGGTATTATTATTTTTATTGTAATGAAATTAATTCATTTTTAATGATAACTTCAATATTTACCAGCTTAATCCTTATGTAGTGATTTTGATCGCAGTTCCTAACTAACTTTAGGTTCAACAAAAGCTTAATAGGCATGTATTTTCTCTTTTATGTGAAACTATTGATAGTTGAATGTGTTATTCATAAAGTTACAGTAATTGTTGAATTAAAATAATGTTTGGATAATTATTTTAAGTTATTGTAAACTTTGTAAAAATAAATAATTACGTAAGTAACATGCATTACGAGTGTATGAGGTACTACAATTATCTATATTATAATATACATCAATAGAACGCATGACTATCAATTAGTTTTCTTTATATTATTTTTAATAAGTATGTTTTATTATTGTTTTTATTTATGCAATGTGTAAAATGATTTGAATCCTTTTTTTTTCTTGTAAATTTTATTTATAAACGATTTATAATGTTCGGCTAATTATGTGATGCTATTTTTAGATTATTTTACGTATAGACTTTTAATAAAGACAAGGATCGTTTTCATGAGTTTTTTTTTTAATTATTTTTAGTAAAATTTTGTTTTCCTTACAGTTTACATGGGGTTTGTAAAGCTTATTATTTAATTATAGAAACATTTAGGTTTTAGTTTGATGAATGAAAAGATCTCACTTTATTACAGCTGTTTGTGGGTGTCATTGAAATATATAAATACGATAAAAACAACTTTAATATAGCACTAATATAATAATTGCTAATCATATTAGATTATTTTTTTTATTTTTTTAATACTTTATTGCACCAATATTACAGGACTTTTTAAAGAATTTTCAATAAGTTTTATTTTGTTTCTTTTTATAAAAAAGCCTTTTCTTTCGAAAATAATATCTGCGCGTAAATTGAATAACTTTTCCAACAAAGTTACCGTAAATGAATAAATATGAATGAAATATTATATAATAACGCCATAATAAACAATGATATTATAAAAGAAGAAATGTAGATACATTACAAGCGCGCCAAAAATCAAATGATATAAGATGAAGCTGATTAGCACTACATAAAAATAACTAGTCATTATACTTATTATTTATATTGATTTTTTTAACTCTTTATTGCACCAGAAACAAAAATATACAATGACAATTGTATAATTCAAGCGAAATACATTAACATGAATACATATTGAAATATATACATAAATGTACAAAAGGCGGTCTTATTGCTAGGGCAATCTCTTACATACCACCTTTGAATAAATGAGAACATATAGAAGTGGAAAGCACAAGAGTGAATTAATACTTTTTTATTTTATTTTTATAATTCTAATTATTTATTTTTTTATTATTTGACAATATAGTATAATGTATGTGTGTTGTGCTGTTGATATGTTCGGAACTTGATCCATTTGTTTTATGAGCGTGTAATAGTTTTTTTTTTTTTTTATAAAAATAATTAACGTATTACAATGCAATGCGGATCATTATCATAATTATGTTGATAATTGATCTGTGAAAAAATAAATTTCTATTTATTATTCATTAAGTGTATCCCTATCTCATTTCATTATTCAACTGAATCATTTGTGGTATCATTGAGTATCTAGTAAAAGCTTCAATTTAAAATATAATAATTCTATTCAATTTTGTCTATTACCTATATATTTCAATTTAATATATAGGTAATAGACAAAATTGCAATATTAATGTGGATATTAAATTAGAAAAATGATTTATAAATATCTTTCATTAAAACAAATCCTCTATCTCATTTCATTAATTAATCCATAAAAAAACTTTTGTATCATTTTCTCTCAAGTCAACAAATGATGAATATTATATTACAATTTGCAAAATAATTTTCTATTATATTATCATTACTTACTAAAATACACGTAAAAAGCCCCCCTATCTCATTTCATTAATTTTATTATTTTATGAAATTTGGTCATGTAATTTCATGATAATCATGAAGCCGCGAAAAGGCAAAATGTATTGTAGAGATATTATACAATTTTATCATTATTGATAAGACTTAGAAACGACCCTTATTATTTTCGTTTATTCCAAATACTTAGATTTAAAATTAAATTAGTACATATTAGGGTACAGTTATATAAGACAATAATGTTTGTATGTTATTGTATGAATTGTCATTGATTATTATTAACATTATAATAAACCACTTAATGTGTTTATCTATGCCTATTTCAAAGTCGTTAAAAATAATTATTATAATAATAGGGCATCGTTATATTTATTCAAATGAGTTAAAAAAGAATTCACCTAATTTTTAAATAGTAATAACTTAAATATAATTAATTTAAATTAAAATGAATTTAATTTAGTTAATTTAAAGTTAAGTTAAATTTCATTAATTGAAATTTTAAATTTAAATTAATTTAGAGTGTAAACTTTAATGATATTTGAGGATATTATTATAATGTGATAGAAATAATATTATCATTATTACTTATAGAGCCCTCAGCCGTTAAGACATATTAGTTACATGATGCTTTGCAAATAATAAATTGTCATTGAATTAATTTGTGTTAAAAAAATATTATTAATTATAAATACTAAAAAAATACTGGCAAATGGCGTGTGTTGAGCGTAGCTTGAGCTTTTGTTAGCAATTAGAGACGACACTTTGCAGTGGATATTATTAAATTAAATAACATCCTGGAATAATAAACTTTTTCTAACCAACTTTTCAAAAATAGGATATCTCAATATAATTACTTTTTTTGTATGTATGTTATACGAAAACTTTGTAATTGTGAATTGTTTTTAATTAATATTTTTCCCCTGCACTCCATTTTGTCAACATTTTCTTGGTCGGTCTCGATAGGCATCCAGCTTATGAGTTAGTTATGTATTATGATAGGTATTAATTTTTTTATTTAAGAGTTTCCTCTTGTCCAGGCAACTATTTCATGTATTCTTCTCCAACTAGCTCTACTCTAGGCCAAGTCCTTCCTATACGATATGATACCTAGACTTTTTTTATTTGTCTAATGGAGGTATTTCTCAGCCTTACCCTTCCTCTTTTGTCTTCTATTTTTCCTTAAAGTTTGAAGGGCGGGATAGGCAATTAAATTATTGAGTACAGATTGTCTACGATAACATGGCACGCCCGTTCAAAATCCAAAGAAATCAAAAAGTGTAAGTAAAAGCACAAGGTTTCGATCAAGGAATACTCTGTAATACTCTATGCCGAATCATTACTGAAGACTTTTTGTTTAATGGTATGCCCTCAAGTATAAATATGTTGTCTCAATTGTTACTCGGATTTATTACGTAATAAAAACCGTCGACATATAAAATTATGGTTTTTTCAAACACGCTTGATGAAAGAAGAAGAGTGCTTACTCTTCAACTAGTGATGATCCTGAGGAGAACTTTTTTTTTGTATTCGGCACGCTCAGTAAACAATTATTGATATGTCTTTCTTATTAATTAACAATTAAAAACAAAAATTTATAGTTAAATTAGAAATATTTTTTGTCTTAATCAGTTATATTATTTTGTATTATTACTACTTATTACGTAGTATAATTAATTTTTAATCAGTTTTATTTAGAAATGAGTTTTATCCGCAACTTCACAACCGTGAATTTTAAAAATAGGAAAATTAATGAAATATCATTTCAAGAAAACCTTAGATTATAATCTAAGGATAAAACATACGCCAGTTTTTAAGTTCGACTTTTAGAAATACAACTATTTTAAACCGCATCCAATTCGGTGTAGTAGTTTTTACGTAAAGCCGGAATAAACACACAAAGAGATACAATAATTATGGTTATTATTACTGTAGTTGTTCAGTAGCCACTGAAATTAGCGTTATAATATTGTTCAATACCATAGCACATGTTGAGTGGGAGTCTCATTCGGGATACACTGAAGCAAAGATGGGTAATATATGTATACCAATATTTATATATTTTAGTTACAATATCTATATACTGGTCCCATAAAGAATATGTTAAAAGTTTGTTATCCAATATTATTTTTTGGATAACAAACTTCTAACATTCATTCGACCGATATTGGCGACGTTGAAATAGGTGATGACCTTTTCCCGCCATCAATGTCCAGAGAAACCCAATATATAGATATCGGATCGGTATCCATATCACCCATACTTACACTGAACTGCTTCAAATGTTTAATAAATATTTTTCGATATATTTCTAATATGTTGGTTCTTGATTTATTACGACTTTTGATCTGACTCCAAGATTTTTATTACTGAATTTTGAATACTCGAACGGAGAATCATTTTTACCCTTGAAATATGTTTTTTTAAGATACTTTTACGGCTTTGGATGTTTTAGTTTAATATCTAACAGAAATAGTGATGGGACATCGCTAGAAGTCGATCGCTCTCGACTAGTGGTGCTCTTGAACAATTATTATTTATAAATAAATGTAAGTAATGTGTCAAATATAAAAAAAAAAAAAAAACAATAATTCAACTGCAAAAGTGTCTACAGAAAATGGCTTGATTACAATAATTTTGTTAGTAGCGACGGCGAAATATGGCTTAGTTTAGTCTAGTCTTATAATGAAATAAAGTACGTGTTAATGTTAGTTTGGAGTTTTATTTAAAAATACCATCTATGCTATTGTATGGAGCAATTTCAGATGTACTACCGCTAGATGGAGTGACGACCTGAAATGCATTGCGAGGTTTTTGTGACTAAGTCAGTTCCTTATGGCAGTCTATAAAGACGGTGTATGTTGAGCAGTTTAGCAGCCATTAAAGTTGAAATAATGACGAAGAATGGGCAGTCTCTTAAAACGTGCTGTTGCTCAGTACTTATACAAATAAGACTCGTAATGTGTAAAATTTTTTTTAAAGAATAATGGTGGTACGCTGGCGGGGCAGTGAGGGATGATAGGTGAGAATGAAAAGGCAGGTCAGTTAGCCCATCATGATGACTACACCTGGAATTCAGCACGATAGTTTCCGGGAGTACAACGTGGAGGTCAACCTGATAGGGTATATTGCTAGCAATAGGACTGATAGTTCGTACTCCTAACAATCAATTCCCCCATATAATGATCCCCCTAATTATAAAAACTAAAACTTACTACAGACCTAATTTATCTATTAAGTATTTTGTCACTTTCTTTCAAATTGGAAATGTAGCATAAAACAAAGATAGAAAATAGTTCAATAGCTAAAATAGGTTTCTGGGACGTTAGGCGTTTTTATGAATAAGAGAGAGGCGTCGAAGTACAGGTCCAAGCCAATCAATATAAGAGTTAAATGTCATTATTTTATTGCTATGTATTGCTTCATATTGGCCGTGTGGTCCCGGTATAGAATAGATCACCCCTTCCTTTCCTGTGGGTGTCGTAAAAGCCGACAAAAGGAGGGCAAGGAATGGGCAGCAACGTCCCTCTTTAAACATCTTTAGAGTCTGGCTGCGGTTGCCAACCCACTTGCCAAGTGTGACAACTACTGGCAAAACTCCCTAAGGGGAAGGGTTATGTTCAGCAGTGGACAGTTAAAGGCTGATATGATATGACGATTGCTTCATATTAGTTTACCAAATATATATATGTATGTTAGTGTTGTATATTTGTATGTATTTATGCGTATATATGTATGTATGTATATGTATTATATAAATAAATATATATACATATACATGTATGTGTATGTATATATATGTATATATTTGGATGTATGTGTTTATTTATGTATGTGTATATGACTATAATGTCACAGATTGTTATTATTTTTTACAGATCTATTTTCTTAACGCGCTACCTACCTATTTATGCTTTAATTCTTTCTATCCAAAGGTTGTCTGGAAGAGATTGCTTAGCAATAAGACCGCCTTTTGTACTACACTATACGTATTGAAAATTGTTCAACAAGTCCTGTAATGTTGGTGCAGTAAAGTGTTAAATAAATAAAATAAATAATTTGTATTCTCTAACCAACATAAAAAAAGGAGGTACTCAATTCCGTTGTATTTTTTTTATGTTTCTTATATCTTCGTCAGTTTTAAATCGATTTGGAAAATTCTATAAGGATATACTAACAGGTTGATCCTATTGGATCGTTTATTAAAGTTTTATTAAAATCGGTTCAGTAACTTAGTTTTTAAATCAAAACAACTAGTTTTTCGCTTTTTTTTTGGTGAAACACAATGATTTATCTTTATTTCAGTATTTGCTGTGTGGTCCCGGCGTAGAATAAGCCACGCTTTCCTTTCCCGTAGGAGGCAACTAAGGTATCTTAATGGTCGAAGGATGGGCGGCAGCGTTCCTCTTAAAACATCACCAAGACCTAATTGCAAAACCTCCCAATAGAGGATACCTATATTCATGTATAAATGTGGGATAACTGACTTGCCCTTTCATTGTCACCTATAATTTCTCACTGGTGCCCAGCATATAATTTCGTGGTATATATATTATTTTTTCACTGTAGGTATGTTTATAGAAAGAAATTATTGATTGATAGATAAATTAATGGCTCAAAATTAATATTTTTTTACCTATTTTTCTTAGGGGATGAAAAGATGATTAGTAAAGGGGCTAGAAACTCTAATGCTAACAGCGATTTCCCCCTGGAAACCTTTGTGATTAATCAATAGTTGAATTCACCACGATGGGTGAACTGACCTACTTTTATCCTCACCTATCATCCCTCACCGGTGCCCCGCCAGCGTATACCGTTAGCGCGGGCGGGGTCACCATTCCTTTATTATCCATTAAAAATATAAAACACAGGGGAGTACGAAAATAAAACGAAGTGTCAGTCAACAATTATCAGTTTACTGTCGTTTTACCATTAATACAAATTATTAATAATCTAGCACATTGATGTCAACAATATTATTTTATAAAAAATAATTCGTAAACATCCATCGGCGTCGTGGTGGATACCTACCGAACGTATTGATAATGGGAGAAAAGAATTGTTAATATTGGGGACTAATCGCTCCATTGCTAGTAAGCCCTGTCAGGTCGATCACCACGCGTTTTCCCCTGGAAATTGTGACTAATACTTGTTACATTCGTCGCGATAGGCTAACAGACCTGCTTTCATCTTTATCTATCATGCCCCGCCAGTGTATACTGATAGCGCAGGCGGGCTTACCATTCCATTATCATCCATTAAAATAAAACGTATTGATAATACATTAGGTACCAAACACATTGCTTGTTATCGCTCTTGCAAATTTGAGTGCATATTTACATTTTATCAGTATTGTTTTGTACCGAAATAATATTGCATAATTAATTTTATATTACACTATTTGCCCATTAATTCGTACATCGATTTTAGAAGAAGAATAATTAAAGATTTCGCCCCAACAAAAATATCGACTTTAGTTTTTTTTTTTTTTATATAACACAGGGGGCAAACGAGCATGCGGCTCACCTAAAGGTAAGTGACTACCGCCGCCCATGGTCACCCACAACACACGGCATTGCAGGTGTGCTGCCGACCTTTTAAGAAGGAATATGCTCTTTTCTTGAAGGTTATGTTGTCGTATCGGTTCGGAAATACTGCTGCTGGAAGTTGATTCCAAAGAGTGGTTGTGCGTGGGAGAAAGTGCCTTGAAAAACGCACGGTGGAGGACCGCCACTCGTCCAGATAGTTGGGATGAAATTTTAGTTTATGGCGGGTTGTACGATGGTGAAAAGTTGTAGCAAAACTAGTTCTTTTGATTTAAAAACTAAAATACCAGAGGGAGACTTCGTACAAAAGTCGTTTGCTTGGGTACCTCTCCGTGTTTCTACCGTGAAGCAGTGGTGTTTGCATGGCTGTGTTTCGGTTTGAAGGGTGGAATATGGCAGTGAATTTGCAGGGTATAGAGGAATAACATCTGAGTCCTCAGGAACGGCAATGCATGGGAGGTATCACGGGCGAAACAGTACACTCTGTTATGTCCATGGTACTGCTCATGTCTATAGGCGACGGTTACCAATTTCCATCAGGTGGGCCGTCAGCTTGTTTGCCATTCTAAGTTGTATAATGATCTATATGATCTAAGAGGTAATAATATTAATTACATTTTGCTACGAATTAACTGTCCGGCCTGACTTCGCACGGTTGTACTATGAAGGAAGAAAACGAGAGTAAATCCTCACTATCTCTCACATTTTTGTATGGACATTTATTAACCGAATTTTTTTACTTTACGATTTTAAAACATTTTCTTTCATGCAAATACATAAAAAAAAAAAAAAACAATAATTAGCCCCCATTTTGCGGCCGTTTTCAAGTAATACACGTACATACAACCGGCAATTGATTTTTATTTATACTATACATTTTATTGCCATGTATAAATTATTAAATTATTTCAAAGACATTAAATTGAATATTTTTTTTAATAATTTTTTTTTTAATATTAATGTGCAGTGTGTTGTTACATTTTTAAGGTATTTGTGTTTATTATTTAGCAAGCACACTATAATATTTAGCTGTGTAGGTTTCAGCATAGAATAGGTCACCCCTTCCTTTCCCGTGAGTGTTGTAAAAGGCGAATATTTTTTTTTTTAATGGGTGATAATGTAATGGTAATCCCACTTGCGCTATCGGTATACACCGGCGAGGCACCAGTGAAGGATGATAGGTGAGGATGAAGCAGGTCAGATAGCCAATCGTGACGAATTCAACAAGAATTGTTCACGATGGTTTCCAGGGGGAACCACGTGGCGGTCGACCTGATAGGGGCATATTGCTAGCAATGGGGCTGTCAAACTCTATTGATAACAATCCCTTCCGGTAAAAGGCGAATAAGGGAAGGCGAGGCATGGGTAGTAGCGTCCCTCTTAAAACATCACCAAAAGTTCATCAGCAAACCTCCCCTTATGGGGGAGGTTATGTTCAACAGTGAGCAGTTAACGGTTGATACATGATTTAGTTGGGAGAAGGGATTGTTAGTAATGGGGAAGTTAGTCCCCATTGCTATCAATATAGGTAATCATGTCGACCTCTACGCGGTTCCCTCTGGAAACTATCATTAATATAAATATCATTTAATTCGTTATGATGGTTTTTTGATTCTCACCAATCATCCCTCACTGGTGCCCTGCCAGTGTATACGGAGCGCACCGCATACGGCAGAGTTACCATTTAATTATCATCCATTAAAAAAAAACATGATTTAGTAAGTATGCTATATCATTTACATATAGTGTAAGGGAGTTATCTGTGTGTCTGTCATTGTATTTGAAATAGTGTAGTTTTTCAAGCACCTCCCAATAACTTCAGTTGCGTGTTTTGTTTGTGTTTTAATTAATATGTCGATATTATTATTTGATATGTTATATATCCTTTAAACAAAACTATTTTAATTAATCATTTACATTGAACCTTTGTGAAAAAATAAATTGGAAAACTGGAAAAATAGGCAATGCAATTCATATCAGAAAAGTACCGTTTTTCTCCATCAGTGATCGGTTTTTTCAAAGGAAAACACCAATGGGTATGGCATACCTATTAGTGTTTACCTTTCTTCCACCTTTTCGATATGTGTACATCAAAAATAATTATACCATCTTTGTGTAAAGCAATCACTAGAAACGTCTAAACAAGTGTTACAGTCTGCCACTATACCTTCTGTGTACGTCATTCGTTTTTTTTATACAGTAAAAGCTCTTTATTCACGTTCTCTTTATTCACGTTTTCACTATTCACTGAATTAAAATTTTCTTTATTCACGGTGCATAATTATAAAAAAGATTCGGTATACTTTGTAAACGCGTCAGCAAATATATAAAATAGGGGGAAGGGACTGTTAGTAATGCGGACTACCAGTCCCATTGCTAGCAATATGCTCACCTATCATCCCCCACTGGTGCACTAGTGAGGGATGAAAGGTATGATGCCAGCGTATACTGTTGGCGCAGGCGCGGTTACCATTCCATTATCATCTATTAAAAAAAATTATTAATAAAGCGGATTTTTTTTATACAACTTAGAATGGCAAACAAGCTGACGGCCCACCTGATGGAAAGTGGTAACCGTCGCCTATAGACATGAGCAGTACCATGGACATAATAGAGTATACTATTTCGCCCATGATACCCCCCCATGTGTTGCCATTCCTGAGGACTCAGATGTTATTCCTTTTAATCAGACTTAAAAACAACTATACCTAAAGTATGTTTTAAATACTATTGCCGCTGTATAAGTAGCTCGGCTTTCTGTATTCACGGTTTTTATATTCGCGGTATATTTACAAAATATATATCCCGCGAATAAAAAGCTTTTATTATATAAAAAAAGATTTTTCTGTAAATTGTAATTTAAAAAGAGAACAACGGAAATGTATATTTCATTTGTATATACAGTACTATAAATATGTTAGTGAGAAAATGTGCTTATATTTTAATTAAGTTTATATAAAAATTGTAACTTGTCCAGAATAGGCTTTTAGAAATATGCATAGACAAAATGATTTGCTAATTAAACACCCTCCATCTGATTAATATGATTATAAGAAGTTCATTTAAAACTTTAATTTTAATTTAAAACTTAACTTATATATTTACATAATAGCTCTCACAATAATAATAATAATAATATTTACAATACATCAAAATTATTTCTTTTTATTTTATAATACGAAGTATTTGAGTGAACATTAAAATTACATTTTTCAGTAATGAATGTAGAATGATGAATATACAATAATGAATGGTAGAGATTAAACAAAAAATAACCTAGTAATTAGCGAGATGGATCGACAATCACTGAAGTGAATGTGACACAATTAAATGCAGAATTCAAATGTTGACATTGATCTTTTAAAATCTTATAGTTAACGGTTATTTTTCGCCAGGATTAATACTAGTAACAACAAAATACATATAAGAAAAAAAAAAAGTTAATTTTGTTTATTAGAAAAAAAAAAAACAATTTTTAGATTTTATTAATATAGATGAATTAATAGAATTAAAATTGTCCTTTATGTTCAGTATAAAACAATAAAATTTGACCAAGGTCATCACAGTAACATTTCCAAAATTTATTTATTGAAAATATACAAAAATCTTCCTCGTATTAAGCATATTTTTTTTTTCAAGTTGTACTTTTCAAAACAGATTTCAATCAATGAACAAAATTGTTTTGTCATTGAAATTAAATTAGTTTTCCAAACAATAAAAAAACAAGTGACAAAACTAGTTATTTTAACTAAAAACTATTGAGTCGATTTTGATAAAATTTTAACGGAACCATTTGTATTACCTATACACAACACTGTCCAAAAATGACGTCTTATTGACGTCCTAATATTTATATGTATTAGCTGATAACATGACGCGTTTATAACAACTAATTACAAAATTTAAGTTGGGGAATGATATAAAAAATAATGTACATGGATTTTTATGATACTTATTTTGGCATTGTTCGCAATATGTCAACGATGTTATCTGTTATTCTTAATTTACTTATAATCCACAATGTCCAAAGGTGACGTCCTACTGACGTCATACATATTTACATGTATTAGCTGATAATGTGACAAGGGGCGACGCTCCCCTCTGTCGCGTCATCTGACGTGGGCGCTAATGAGGCGAGTTGCGTCGCCGTGGCTCTTCGCTAGGACCTGTGACGACCTGCCTCGCCTAAAAGAGAGAATTGTTCATATAATATGAGTCCGAGGGGGCCCTTTCCCTTGTTAGTAATGCGAAATATCAGTCCAATCGCTAGCAATTTGCCTTATACGGTCGACCTCCACGTGGTCCTCTCTGTAAACCCTGACTGGGCTATTACCGTTCTGTTACACTGCCCTGCTGCATTTTATTTTCCAAGACAGATGGTGGGATGCCAAGCGTGGCAACTACTGGAAAACCCCCTCAACAGGGGGAGGACTATGTTTAGTAGCGGACTGTTAACGGCTGATAGAATCATAGTATTAATAAAATTTCGAATTTACTCATTAAAAAAGATGCGACTCTACTCTCCAACAAGTCTGCGTATATCTGATTGCGTCCAGGGATGATCCCCACACTCGCCCGCACCCACGTGCTCACGACCAAGTGGATAATTACCTCTGCGCAGGCGCAGCTCGAGCGCGGCGTGTGAGAGTAGCGCGGTGAAGAGCGCGGCGGCGAGCGCGACGAGCTGCGCGCGCGCACACAGCAGCTGGCGCGCCGCGCACGCCGCCGCCAGCCCCGCGTGCCGCGCGCCCAGCGTCGCCGCCCACGGCCCGCGCCACCCCGCGCCGCCGATGCACGCGCCCGCCTGCACGTGAAGTTTTTTATGCAATCTACATTTTTTATTTAATGAATCCCAAAATTATAAACTAGCAAATAATCCATCTAATTGAAAATGGCAATCGTCTCTTAAAGACCTGAACGGCATCATGGATACTAAACAGGGGGTAGAAATCGCAATATCATAATCACCAGCGATGGAAACGAATGAACGGTGTATTCTGTGATGGATATCTGATGGTCTTGTTTATGTCTATATTCTATAGGCGACGATTACAAGATTATACTAGAAAAAATAAACGTTTGTTCCCCAAGAAAAGTCTGCATTATATACTAATTTCAAGATCTCCGGCTATTATGACAGTAAACCAATGTGGTCGGGGACAGACCAACTGGGATCTGACCTGAAGTACGTCCCACAAGGCGGCACAAGCGCCCCAGGCGGCGGCGGCGACGGCGGGCAGCGCCAGGTCAGTGCGGGCAGCGCGCCAACGCAGCAGCGCGAGCATCAGCGACGCGTGCGCCGCCGCCCCGCCCGCCGCCAGCGCACCGCGCCGGCCCCGCGCCGCTGCCATGCTAAGAGTCGCCGCTGCCAATGCCTGCGAGTCGGGACAGACGATTGTTAGTAGTAAGATCTGGTCCTAAATAAAAAGTACAGCGAGTTTTGCGTGCCAGGCAGTGTTGGATTGCTCGAAAGATTACAAGCAGCGAAGATGGAAGAAGAGAATCCTACTCGGTCGACTACCACAACACCAGACGCGATAACTCTTATCTGTGCACGTTCTTTATATTTCAGTTGTCCAGTTACCTTACTTATGTAATAAAATTATCTGCACATGGGAGATACTTAAGAAAAATTAATATGAGTTTCTGTGACTGTATGTATATGTGTGTGTATGGCGTCCTAACAAGACCAATAGAAGCTAGAACAATATATATTTAAAGATTTGTTTGTCGGTTTGTATGTTTGTTTCGGCATCAGGCAAAAAATTGGATGCAAATTCTACAGTCATATTCCTGAACGATATGTTTTATGTAGGAGTGGTTTATTTAATTGATTTTTCTATTTCTGAAAAATCGCTAGTTGTTTAGTACCTGTAAACAGCCAGCGCCGAACAGAGCTCTCCAGGCACAACTCCATCCCCCAACACAAACTCCGTACCACTGCGAATATTAGGCAAGTTATAATTTCATATCTCCTTATTCAAGAGATAGATAGAGAATTACGTGACATTAGTCGTGTCCAAATTTCGGCTTGCATTTTCCAATTATGAACCATATTTTCTATGATCCATCCTTTAATTTAGTTTCTTAACGGCGTTTTTTTAGCGGAAAGTCAATGAAAAAATTAAATTGGCTTAAAGTTTTTAGTGTCTAGCAGATTCTTGAGTAATGTTGCCAGATCCAATTTGTTTTAAATCGGTACATGAGGTCAAAAAATCGGGATTTAGGGTTGCATTAGGGACAGTAGACAATAAACAAGGGCTTTTTAACTCTGGGTTCAATTTATTGCGTTGAAGAAGTATTAATTACCTAAATTAAATATTTAACTATTTATGTAAGAACATAACAAGTAATCAGTGTTGCTGGACTAGTAGAAATTATAAAATAAAATCGTACTTTAAGTGTAAATATACATAATACATAGTACTTAGCGTAAATATACATTTTTTTATGAAAAAAACTTTTTAATTTTTTGATTAATCGGGACATTTAGCGTCCCGTTCAGATACAAATCGGGACGCGTCCCCAGACCCCTGAAAATCGGAACGTCCCGCACAAATCGGGACACCTGGCAACACTAATCTTGGGATATGTAAATCTAGAAAGTAAACAGCCACTAAGTTTTTCATTCTTATTAATCCTAAATGTGAAAGTGAGTTGATTCTTGGTGTTATAATGGATTAATAAACTGTCCCAAAATATAGCGAAGTATTTGGTATAGAGAAGGATATAGGCTAATCAGTCAATTATAGATGAATAACGTACTATTAACGCAAAAGTCGATTGCTTGGGTACCTCTGTCCCATTCGTGTTCCCACAGCCATGCAAGCAGTTGTGTTTGCATGGCTGTATTTCGGTTTGAAGGGTGGGATATGGCGTGAATTTACTGGGTACAGAGGAATAACACCTGAGTCCTCAGGTATGGCAAGGCATGGGGGTATCATGGACGAAACAGTATACTCTGTTATGTCCATGGTACTGCTCATGTCTATAGGCGACGGTTACCACTTTCCATCAGGTGGACCGTCAGCTTGTTTGCCATTCTATGTTGTATAAAAAAAAAACTTTGGTCATGAGGACGATGCGACGTAGCGTTTTTAAAACTAATAAAGCGATAATTATTAAAGACATTGAAAGAAATTTTAATAAACGAAATACCTTAATATATGAGGTATAAATAAATCCCTGTTGTAACCCAATAAAGAGGCCCATTGGGGCCCCAAGCAACGCTCGGGGGTCCTTCACAACGGACCTCGCATCGGGTGGAGGGCCAGGCGTGGATGAGGCACCGTACACGCCTAATCCAATAGACGCTAGAGCCACGGATGCCCACACCGCTACCAGGATGCGCCTCCCCTCAGCTGTTAAAGCGGTGCCAGATAAAGACTGGGTGTTAGGACAACCAGATGCACCGCAAGTTTGCTCCTGTAAAACATTGAATAAATAAATGAAATGAATATATAAATAAGTCTTAAACTAAGCAGGTCTTGTACTATGTATGTATATAAATAGACATACTTTAATACTTTTTTAAAAGAAAACTATCAAACGAATACAAACAGATGCCTCTTTGATAGTAAAATTTTTTTTTTTAAACTTTATATCAGTTTGTTAGTACAAATATTATTTTTAAAACTTATGTTCATAATTGTAGTTTCCCAAGATTGTTTCGACTTCATCTGAAAGTATTCTTCAGGGTGAATATGGTGCTAAAATTCCTGTTATGAGCACGTGAGTACAAATGTTTGTATTGTGATGGGATCTAACTTACGATCATATGAATTTAAAGGGCGAAAAGCACCAATATGATTGATGTTAACGAATTATTAATTAGCTTTGAGGATTAACGGTTTTTGTATAATATTGTTGTCGAGCTGTGAATTGATAATATTTTGGATAACTAATAATTTAGACTATAAAATTGTAATATGTACTCATATTAGGTACCTACATATTATTAAATTTAACATTAATAATAATTCTAATTGATCGCAATAGTGTCCGTTAGAGACTGCCATTATAATCGTTATTTACCTCATAATCATCCTCTAGAAAGTATTCCTCAGACGGTGGCCATTGGGGTAAAGTAACATTGGTAGGGGCCGCAGACGTTTGCGCTAACGGCATTAAATTTTCCGGCCATATCATTAAAGCGCCGCCGAGAAGAAGTGAGCCAAACACCAGCCCCAAGTCTTGTGCTGCACGTAGCGCTCTCAACGCTCTTCTCAGAGCGATTTTTCTTCTGACCTCGTCGCCAGCAGCTTGAGCTAATGTTGTAGCTGACGCTGTCAGAGCCAGAGACATTGGTGACAACGATACACCACATAGCCCATACAAAGGTAGCAAAACAGATAATGGAGTCGCCACTGTATGCGCTGTTATAAGGAGAAACACCAGAATATGCGCAACAGTTATGACTATTCTTGCTCCCACTTTTTGGAGGATCAGAGGAGAGAATGGTGCTATAATGGCAGCTATAGAATGCATCAGAGCAAGGGGCATAGCAGCAGCTTCGGCGCCAGCGAATGCAGTGAAGGGTAACAAGGCTGTCGCACAGAGGCCGCTTGAGAGGCACAGAAGAGTGAAACGGTTGACAATGGGTTTTGGCACTTTTGGTGGTTGCCTGGCCAGGAGTTTCCGTACTGACGCCGCACCGAGGGAGGACGCTGCTGAATCCCTCCTTCGAGGCACAACAGCTGGTGCAGCAACTCTGAGAGGTGTTTTCGGTTTCTTCCATAGCCATTCTTTCTTGCAAATTGTGCTCACTGGTATCTGTTGAAAAATAAATTATAATAAGATCCACAAACATCACAGAATGCATTGTGATGAAAATGTTATCCTGAATACGTTGGCATTTGTGAGGACTGTGATTATATCTTAGTACTCTGCATTGTTACTGCTATTCCAGAGGGAGACTTTGTACAAAAGTCATTTGCTTGGCCACCTCTGTCCCATTCGTGTTTCAACTGTGAAGCAGTTGTGTTTGCATGGCTGTGTTTCGGTTTGAAGGGTGGGATATAGCAGTGAATTTACAGGGTACAGAGGAATAACACCTGAGTCCTCAATAATGGCAAAAATTGGGGGTATCATGGGCGAAACAGTATACTCTGTTATGTCCATGATAATGCTCATGTCTATAGGCGACAGTGACCACTTTCCATCAGATGGACCATCAGCTTGTTTGCCATTCTAAGTTGCATAAAAAGCCTGTTTAGTATGTAAACATAGCTGTTTTACGTAGGTACTTGAATATGATTGAAGTACCTAACTAAGCATATAAATTCCTAAAGCCGAATTGTCAAACTCTATTTTGGAGTCTCCGGACATTACCTGGGCGATGATAGTCCGGTGCCGATGCGGGTCGGACACGGTCCGCGCGGCGGTGCGGCCGGCCGGCGGACGCGAACGCTCCGTCAGATCAGGTAGACTGCCCATACGCGCCGGCACCTTACCTATCCACTACCTCGCCGCTTCCATGCCTGGAAAACAAAAGACAGGAAATGTTATCAGTATGGTGGCTCCATCTGTGCTATCGGTATATGCTGGGGAGATACAAGGCCACAATGAAGTCATGTCACTTGGTTAGTTATGAAGAATTCAACAGGAACTAACCGATGGTTTGTTGACAATCGAGACATCGCATACTGATGGTAGAGCAAGAACATATTGTCGGGGCTCAGTAATGGGTATATGTTTAAAATATCAAAATATAAAATATAAAACCATCGAAATGTACCTTCTACGTATTTGTTACCACTCGACTGTTTATAATAATTACGTCCTCTATAGAATTACTGCTCTATTGGTGCTCTTTTGTTTTTGGGTTTGGGAGTATTCCGAGAGTGAACTGACAGTTTATTAGTAGTTACAGTCATGTATGACTGTAACTACTAATAAACTGTTAGTTTTTCTCATATTGGGTTTGCTGGAAGAAATCCCTTTTAGAGATAAGCTCGCCTTTGTACACTATTATGTTTTTTTTTTTTTTTTCTATTTCAATACCCTTTTGTGTACAATAAAGAATAAAAAAATAAATGCTTCGAAAAAACGGGTCAACTTTTTCATACATTTTGCGTGATAAATAGTTGAGTGATTCCTTTACAACTTCTATATTTCTTTTGTCTTATATATTATTATTTCTGCATCTTTTTAATGCGTAAATACTCATTTTATTTTTAAAATAATACGTCAAGAAACATTGTATGCGTCAGTATAAAGAACACTGATTAAAAAAAAAGCGTCAGCTAATTTGACAATTAGCTGACAAAAAGTTGACTCGTTTTTAAGACTCGAGACTCTATCTATGTAATATATAATCTAAGACAGGAATATATAACGTCCTATAATAAAACTGTACGTAAATCATCTCAGTACGGTACAAAATATGAGGGGGAAGAGATTGTTAGTAATGGGGAAGTTAGTCACCACTGCTATCAATACACCATATCGGGTCAACCTACACGTGGTACCCCTGGAAACCATCGTGATTGTTTTATTGTTGAATTCGTCACGATGGGCTAACTGGCCTGCTTTATCCTCACCTACCATCCCTCATTGGTGTCCCGACAGTGTATACAGATAGCGCAGCCGGGGTTACCATTCCATTATCATCCATTAAAAGGTACAAAATATCTGCCATAGCAGTTATTTAAGAAATCCTCTTCATCTTGCAATTATATAATTAGATTTAATTCATTTATACATTAGTACATGTATGTGAATAAGGCGGACTTAATGCTAAAAGCATTCTCTTCAAGTCAACCATAGGGAAGTGTCAGAATACTCGAATGCGATACTAGTAATTATTGATATACTTCAAACATACTAAAATTTACATATAACAAATGTGCTTACACATATATGTATATATATAACTAGCTGATCCCGTAAACGTTGTTTTACCACGTATTGCGCGATTACAGATACAGGGGTTGATCGTAAAACGATGAAAATTTAAAGTTGTCTTTTCAATGAATAAAATGTATTTTTCAATGCTTAGTCATAATAAAATAAAAATAAGAAAAATTGACAAAAAAATAAAAAAAAAATAATTTTAGGGGTAGGTCACCATTATCATGAAGGGGTATGAAAAATAGATGTTGGCCGATTCTCAGACCTACCCAATATGCATACAAAATTTCATAGAAATCGGTAAAGCCGTTTCGGAGGAGTTTGGTAACAAACACCGTGACACGAGAATTTTATATATTAGATATAGTATTTTATGTAATTAATTATTTATTTTTCTGTATACATTCGTTTATTCGTAAGGGGTCTTAATTAAACCAATAGATGGCGACATAATAATTTTTAGAAATCTATTAAACTAAAACCTATTGCATCAAATTGGACGCTGCTTTAAAATTTTTGTTATCGAAAGTATAACTTATAATCTGGTGTATATTTTATTTAGACAAATCATCTAGGAATAATGTATTTCATTGATTTTCCACAAGTACAAAGTAGAGTGCAAAAATCTAGTTAAAGATAAATAAAATTGCGATGCGAAAATAGCAATTGCATCATACGAATGAGTCAGGGCATCCGCTCATAGTGAATAACAGTGTTGCACACACCAAAAATACAAATTGTACAGAAGTACATAAACCGGCATAATATATCTACACTATACAATTTTTAGAAGGAATCTGGGGAAAGAGATTACTGGGTAAGTGTATAACAACCCTATTCGTAGCAATATAGGGTATATTCATTATAGGTCAGGTCGCGCTCCACGTGGCTCTCCCTGAAAACCAGAGAGGGATTTTATACAAAAGTCGTTTGCTTGAGCACCTCAGTCCTATTCGTGTTTCAACCTTAAAGCAGTTTTGTTTGCATGGCTGTGCTTCGGTTTGAAGAGTGGGATATGGTAGTAAATTTTCAGAGTACAGAGGAATAATACTTGAGTCCTCAGAAACGGCAACGCATGAGGGGTATCATGGGCGAAACAGTACATTCTGTTATGTCCATGGTACTGCTCATGTCTATAGGCGACGGTTACCTCTTTCCATTGGGTGGTCCGTCAGCTTGTTTGCCATTCTAAGTTGTATAAAAAAAATGAATATGAGACCAACAAGAAAAATATTCTATTGTGATATTACTTCAAAAAGAGAACTTTTGAAGTCGCTAATATGACCTAACCTAATATATTAGAACACATGAGGAGTACCGTGGGTGTCACAGTGTATGTAATAAGAGACACGATCCTATAAAAAAAATTTTGTAGCTGTGATTTCATGACTATGTTTTGTGGCATATTCACTGTAAACAGATATAAATGTTTGTAATAAGCGAGTACAGATACAGAAATTGTGACAATGAGAAGGTAAAGCGGTATGTTAAATCTCTAACCTATAAAAAAAGTCTTTAACTACAGTATTAATATAATATACGGCCTCTAAGTAAGAATATATACTTAGTGGATAGAACTTTTGGGATTACATTTGTTTTATTAAAAAAGCAATATTATTTAAAAATATAGTTTGAAAAATATAAATATGAAGTGTACAATAAGTATAATATAAACTTTAAAAATATTTTTCTAATTAATTTTAAAATTATATTTTTATTTATGTAACGAAAACTGTAACTAATTTCATTTAATTTTCTGGCAACACTGAGTTATCAACGTTGGTACTTATGTCGTGTTCGTATCACATTCGAACAGTAGTGATGTGCGATATCGACTTGTTAGATTAAAACAAGTATAATGTTTATTCAATCGATTAATTATTTACTAATTACATTGACAATAATTATTAGGTGTCTATATCATATAAGTAATACGATACGGTATTTCTATTTGATATAACAATAATCTCCTACATCTGAAATGTAAGAGATTATTATATATCAAATAAATGATCGAAATAAAACTCATACCTACTTAGAGATTATTTCTTTTGTACGAAAAGTTGAAAATGTAAAATGTATGTAGCATGTAATGTGCCATTGCAACCCATTAATATTTTTGTTAGTATAACATCTCATTCCGGGAGTAAGGGATTGTTAATAATGGGGTGGTTAGTCTCCATTGTTATCAGTATAGTCTACCAGGCTAATTTCCATGGCGGTTCCCCTAGGAAACCATCGTGGCTTTTCATCTTTACCAATCATCCCTCACTGGTGCCCCGCCAGTTTATACCGATAGCGCAGGTGGGGTTACCATTCCATTATCATCCATTAAACAAACACAGTCTTTAGGAATGACAACGCATGAGGATTAACGTAGGCGTCACCACCACGTCGTGGTATGTATATAGATAACGGTTTATAAGATAACGATTCCAAGTTGCTTTTAAAAAATGTTCTAGAAAATGCAATAAATACTATGATATAAATTAAACGTAATAATCTATATATACATTGAATATATTTTTGTTTGACAATTTTGCAAACAATCAAAGTATTAATTAAGTATTAAGTAATTAAGTAAAGTCATTTTGAACTAAGGTAAAGAGTGAGAACGACACGTCATATGTTAATTTTGGTCCAGTATTCCCAGACATAATAAACAGATAGGTACCTACATCGACATACACTAAACAAGAATAACAAATACCACGCGGACGAAGTCGTGGGCATCAGTAAGTTTAACCGAAAAAAATATTTTTTGTAACTTTGATTGAAAAAGAACATGACGATCCACTTAATGGAAAGTACAAATGGTGGTATAGAGGTATTCAAGCAGACGACTTTTTGTATAAAGTCTCAATCAATCGAATATGATAAAATACATAAATTTAGGTTATGTTAAATTAAATGTGGGCCAATACTGCATGTATTTAATCTATTTTAATTTCTAATTCAACCCATATATAATATATTTAAAAGATTATTAATATAACATTTAATTTAATAGGTTATTAAATATTTTAAAATTTCAAATTGCCATGTCAAATTGGTATTTTTATGAAGTATAATTAAAAATGGAATAAGTGGTGTACAAATGTGAAGACACGAACGACGTAGCAGGGATAACTGAGGAGTCGTTTGTTAGCAGTAATACTATATTATTATGCCATGAGAAGACGAATAGTAATATATTTAAATAATAAAATACTACTTTTGTAAAGTGAGCAGGCCGTAATTGTCATGTAAATTTGAAGACATCATTTATTGTAACAATTAATACTCAGAATACTTGGATATATTTATATTTATTTATTTACAATACTAAATAGGTTGTTGATTAGTCTTACAAAAATAAACATTATATCCCACAAAAAAAAAAATCAATTTTAATTGTGATAAAACTAGTTATTTTGCTCAAAAAATTAAATTATAGGTTCAATTTGCATAAAATTTCTATGGAACTAATCTTGATTCCATAGAATTTAATATACAATGAAATATACAAATCGGTTTAGAACTGGCGCATTTATGAGGTAATATATATTAAAAAAAAATAACACGGAATTGAGGACGTTCCTTCTGTTTGAAGTTGGTTAAAAAAATCTAATATCAATCACGGTAGAAAATTCTTTATTATAATCGACAGAGCGAATCGATTATATTTAATATTATCGATAATCATTACCAAATATCGCGACATTACCGTAGGGAGATTCCCGCTTTACTGCGTATCTATTTATACTTGTATAAAAGGAGAGTCTTTGTTTAGTTTATTCTTATAATATTTTAGTTCCTTTTTGAACATAGTCTCCTTGCTCATTCAAATATTTTGAAGTCACCTGTAAAAAGTACTGTGTGATCTGAATACCTGATAGATACCATAAAAACAGTAAGTAGGTGTGCTTTTATTTTTGTTTTCATAATACCTAAACTAACTGTTTACATGTAAATGAATTAATAAAACCGATTGAATAGTTTTCAAGTTTGTTTGTCACAAAGAAATACCTAATCGAATGATTCCTTTTTTTTATATTTGTATATATTATCTGCAGTATCTAGATATCTTCAGTCTGTGTTTATTAGTGGAGATTGTATGTCTAGAATCCTACCACGAGTATATTGTATTGTACAGTCTTTATTGTACATGATTTTCATTGAACACATAAAAAGATTTAATATACAATGGCGGACTTATTCTATAGAGGGATCTCTTACAGTCGACCTTTGAGACGCTGAAATATAACTATAGAATGTTCAAGGGTAAAAACTTTACAGTTAAAGATAACATTTAAAAATGCGTAGTTCAAATTAAACATATATAAAATTGTTAAAGGGGGTTAGATTTAGAAATAGAGGATAATTTTTAATAAATCTTATATTTTATTTAAAAACATATTTTAACAGTGCAAACGCAAATGACAGATAAAACCAAAGAGTGAATACAAATATGGCTTGCATTGGGTTCTTCCCAAAGCGATATTAGATGGCGCTCCGTATTCCTTTTACGTAGATACAATATTTTTGTTGTAACTATTTATCTAATTACAACAAAAATATTGTATCTAAATGAGACTGTTGACATGTTTGGTTGTTCGTTACTCAATACTACTGGTAGGCGATTTCCGTCACTTACAGTAAAGCCGGAGGAAAGGATTGAGGAAAAAAGGACGTTGTTGGAAATGCGTATAGGAAATTAGTAAATAAAAAGAATAAGGACTTATATGAGAAAGGATAAGGGAGACACTGCAGTTGCGGAAAGGACTAGGACACTGCAGCGGCTCAGGAGGCCGGGGTCGCATACCCGTATGCCCTTATTCTAGAATCGGATAGATTTCTAGAGAAAAACACCTCACACGCTGATAGTTTAAATACCTACTTTTTAAATTTCATATCGTTTAATCAGTAAAAAAATATATGTCAAAAAAAGGGAGAAATGTAAAAACTGTTTATCTTTTATAAAATTGTTATACCGTTTTTACAACTTAAAAAACTTAATAGAAAAAGAATCATAATAGAAAAATAACGAAAAGAAGGATTATATTTTACACTTCATGTTTTTGTTTTAATTTGTTTATAGAAAATCAATAGAAAGTATCTAGATACCTAAATTAAACCTACTACACCAAAACCTATGTAGGTATACCAAGTTGACATATCAAATATATTAATTTATAGCTTAATTTATTCTTGTTTTCAATGATTATAATTGCGGTTGTCAACCACCTGCTAAGAGTGACAATTACTCGCAAAACCCATCAATTGGGAGGCTTATTTTCAACAGTGGACAGTGAATGGCTGATATAGAAATGATGTTATAAAAACAACTAAATGTAAAAATTACTTCCCCTTTGTCGAATGCAAAAAATATTTCCAAAATGCGTTCAAAATTAGTGAAGATATAATCTCCACGCACGCACATGCGCCCACGCATGCATAAAGCCATTACTTTTTACATTTTCATCTTTCATCACAGTTTTTTCTGTTATGTCCATGATACTGTTTATGTCTATAGGCGACAATTACTACATCATTCCCATCAATATGAGTGCCATCAGCTCTAAGCTCTGTTTACCGTTCTAAGTAACATAGAGAGTAAATAAGTTAACTTAAAACTACTTAACCGCGATTTTTAAAAGTTCTTTTTTTTACCTATAGAAAGCTACATTATCACCTAGTATATTGGCTCTGTGTTGTAGTCGGGACGCATTGCTTGCAAGAAGAAACTGACAAATTAAGTCAATGCACAGCTTCCCTTAACCCTTCTTTGCATAATGGTGGAAATTTTCATTATAATATTGTATGCCCAAAAATTATATAAAAGAACAAGTTCACTTTAAGTTGATCGTGTCTGGATACCTTTTTAATGTCCAATGCAGAAAAAAAACATAGCTGTCAAATTTAGTTTGTTAACCATTTTTCCTTTAATTTTGAATATGAAATATATCACCTTGATTTATTTCACCAATAGAAAAAATCTTCAAAGAAGAGTTAAATCGCTGTGTCTATAAATGTAACGAAACCAGTGGGGTTACTCTTAAAATAAATTCCAATAAATTGATATTGAAAACGTTCCGCACTCTCGAATTGCAATACTAGCGACATAATCGTTATGTATTGTTCTGATAGATGCATATTAGTGTAACTTGCCAATGCAAACTATTGTAAATGGATCCCAATTATAACTTAATTACTAACCAGTATTTCATGAGTGCAGTACAAAATTCTCCTTGGCAATAGATTGGATTGATATTGATACTGGCTTCAAGTGTAGACCTGCAGGTTTCTCGAAATCCAATGGGAATGAGAAATTAGTAAAAATATCTTATGTATTCCCTAAATGTTAAATTTTTTCAGATTACAAAATGAAGATAAAGGGATTTTCAAAGTTAGTTAAAGACAACCTGAAAGAACACAAACTAAAAGACTGCGATGTTGTGATCGACGGTCAAAACTTCTTTTATAACAAGTACAGCGACAGCAAGCTGCCCTATGTTTATGGGTGTGAGAGCGACCGGTATGCAGAATATTTAAGAAATTACATGTCTATTTTCGATAAAGCAAACGTTAAATGTTACGTTATATTTAAAGGCGGTCATCGCGATATTAATAAGAAACACGAGCACCCTGGTGGCTACAATTATTTTTGGGGACAGAAAGAAATAGTTTTGCCTATATTCATGAAAGAAGTCTACAAGCAGGTACTTGATGAAATGGATATCGAATATTCAATCTCTGAATTCGAAGCAAAGGATGAAGTGATTGCTTTCGCGCATACAAAGAAGTGCTGTATTATCAGCAATGATATTGAATTTTGCTTCTCAGGAGAACCCTACGTACCGTATGATACTATTGAGTTTGATCCCGGTACTAATTCAATCAATTGCGGATTATTTGTTTTGGATGACTTTTTACTAAAGTATCGTTTGAACCATGACAAAATAGCGATATTTGTCACATTGACGGATACAACAATTTTCGATGAAACTTACTTTGAGAAACTCCTAAAAAGAATGAAAATGTTAAATAGAAACAAAAATATTTTACTGTTACAATGGCTTGCTAAAACTTCCACACAAGGTGCACTTAATGCAATTAAAAACTCTTTGGAAGTGCATCAGAATAGATTTTTACAAGAGTTGCAAAATGTCAGGAATCGATACGAGAAGAAAATATGTCGAGTGTCTGCTTCATATTTACTACATAAAGATATACTTACTACTGACAATGATCTTCGGTGGTTTGAGAAAGGCGTTACATTAGGGCACATTGCTATTCCTTACATCAATCTTTACTATTCAAATATTATGGTTGGTTCATGGGCCATAGAAGGTAAAGACTCCGAAGACAGTCTTTACTTTTCGATGGAAATTATAAAGTATGCATATAATTTACTGACTAATTTTGAAAAGAATGAGTTTCAATTTAAAGATAAACACCAAGTGACGCACACAATAAGAACAACGAACGCAATTGTAAAGAAGCCTCAATACGTAAATTTCAGCCCTTTCGAAAACGGATGGGAAGGCGCGTTGAAGACTCAAAGGCTATTCGAACATTTTTTGGAAAGTACCATGCCGGGTTTTAATTTTGATCACTTGAAGTTATTACCGGAAGATGCGAGACTCCTCGTTATAGCTCTGATTTACTTCTCACACAATAAGTCCGAGGATGTTACAGATATCGTTCACAGCGTACTACTCTCGTACACTATGTTGCGAGTTACAGCTGTACAGAATAGCAGCACATTTATGAAGGCAGACATCGACGCGGCAAGACATGAGCTGGCGCAGTTTTTCCATATTACACCGCTTGAAGCGGAAGATATATATGACGAAAAACTACTATATCCACTGGTTCAATTTCAATTTTGTTTCATTCATTTGAATTATTTGAATAAACTATGCGGTCGTCCTTATGTACCGACAGTTTATCATTTAACATACAACGGAACGTTCGTATACAAAGTTCTGTTTGCAGCCAAAGACAATGGTCAAGGCGCTAAATTTATCTCTCAAAAATTAGGCTGCGCCCCGTCTTTGTTGTCATTTTATGAAAGCGTTTATAAAGTGTTTGAAGAAACGAAACTTTCCATTGATTTATAAATTGTTTTTGTATATTAATCGATTTTATATTATAATTATTTTACATATAATTATTATTATTCTCTTACTATTGTTATTATGATTTGTTAATAATTGACATCGTTTAAAGTCTTTAAAAAACATTTTAAACTTGATACAGTATAATAAAATATTTAAAAAATACATAACTACGTTTAAAAGACTTGATAATCATAGATACATGACATCATGGGATATAATTAAGGCTAAAGTCGATAAAGTTCAAAGCTATTGATATTCTGGGTATTGATGCTATAAATCTGATATTATAAACGATCCGACGCAAATAGCTAATATTTCTAATGATTGACATCTATCGCGGAAAAAAAACTTCCCGAACAAGTCATAATATTGATAATTGTATTGGATCAAGTATTTTTCTCAAACCCTGTGATCCATCTACAATATACAAACACATAATGTCACTAAAAATACTAAATCAGTGGGATTTGATATGGTTTCAAGTATATTAATGAAAATATGTGCTGGCCTTCCTAATTTTCACGCAGTATTAATCTCTCATTTGTTCAAAGAATATTTTCTGATATGTTAAAAACCAGCACAGTATAACCCTCATTTAAAAAAGATGACCCATGTGAAATAAATAATTATGGCTCTTTATAAAACATTGCCTTCAAATTTTTCAAAAATATTTGAGAAAGCAATGCAAGCCCGTTTAACGCATTTTTTTAAGTAAATTTAAAATAATTAAATACGAACAAAATAGTTTTCAAAAAAATAAATCAACTACTCTGGCTACATTCTATCTGGTTAATAGCATTCCACAAAATATCGATAACAATAATCCTGTCGCTGTGATATTTTTGTATATGAGTAAGGCATTCGATTTGGTTAACCACGTAACATTAATAAATAAATGTGAAATCTATGATATTAGAGGTCTAACACTGAAATGGAATGAAAGTTATTTAACCAATCGATATCAGTGTGTTGAAATAGAGTTAATGAAAACCAAAATTCAGAATCATTTTATTCAAGGTTACAACATAATGACGCCAGGAGTCCCCCAGGGAAATGTTTTGGGGCCACTCTTTTTTCTTTTAAACATCAATGACTTGTCTAATTCTAGAAAAAAAAAATGTGTTTTATTTGCTGCAATGTGTATCATTGATAATACCTAATAATAATAGAATATTGAATTATGAAGACCAAGTATATATTTGTCTGAAAGAAGTAGATGTTTGGCTAAAACGTAACAATTTAAATATAAATTTGACAAAAACAAAATACATTCAGTTTGCAAATTATAAGACGACTACTAAAAACTTTAAATATAAAATATTGAGATCAAACTACACCTATCCCCCGATTTACACGGTAGATACGTTCCTGAGAAAAACGTGTAAATCTAAAATTAAAAATTTTCAAGTCAAAACCGTGTATATCGAAAAGCTTGCAGAAAATGCATAATTTTGCTATTTAACAGTTGTGATTTTTTTCAATATTTTTACGTGTACACAGAAATAAAAATAAAAATTTTCATTTGTTCTAATAGTTCTTATTGTAGCTTCGTTCATGTTATATGATTTTGCAACATCTATTACTCTATCTCCCTTTCGTAAGCGATCCAAAATTTCGATTTTAGTTTCTAAAGAAATAACTTTTCTTTTAACTTCTTTCGACATTATAAGCCTATATTTTTTTTTAATTTATGTTAATTTATAAAAATCATAATTATGCACTCACTTCTAATTTACGAATATGAAAAATTAAATCTTTCTGACACTGTGAAACTTTCACTCAAATACAATTTTCCGTAGATAAAACTTTAATTTTATGCGAAGAAATACAGACACAGTGTGCATGTGCAGCAAGTCAGCACATAAGATCGGGATTCCCTGTGAGATGTGTACATAGCGCACGTGTTCAAACATAGTAGTATTTAGTAGAGTGCGATAAAAAAAAAACTTATTTGGAAAACCGTGTAAAAGCGAAAACGTGTAAAACAAGTACCGTGTAAATCGGGGGATAGGTGTATTGACAAAGATAAAACAATAAAATTTTTAGGATTAGTCCTAATATTTAGATGAGAACTGTAATTGGAAGAACCATATTAACAATCTGTGTACGAAAATTAACATGTTTGTGTATTTACATCGACGATTAAGAGCTAATTCAAGCATGAACACTGCCCTCATAGCTTATCACGGCTATGTAGGTTCTAAACTATTTTTTTTGTATACAACATAGAATGGCAAACAAGCTGACGGCCCATCTGATGGAAAGTGGTAACCGTCGCCTATAGACATGAGCAGTACCATGGACATAACAGAGTATACAGTTTCGCCCATGATACCCCCCATGTGTTGTCATTCCTGAGGACTCAGGTATTATTCCTCTGTATCCAGTAAATTCACGCCATATCCCACCCTTCAAACCGAAACACAGCCATGCAAACACTACTGTTTCACGGTTGAAACACGAATGGTACCCAAGCAATCGACTTTTGTACAAAGTCTCCCTCTGGTAAACTAAATATGGTATTTTATTATGGGGTAACTTCACGTTTATTAACAAAGCACTTATTGCACAAAAAAAATGTAAACAAGCAATCTTTAATATACAGCCTGGGGAATCGTGTAGATCGGTGTTTTCCGACGTGAAACCCACGCCCCACAGAGGGGCCATATGATGGTTTAGAGGGGGTTGGGGGGGGGGGGGTCAAATAAAAAATGGAAATCAAGCGATTTTAACCCTCTTGCTCCGGGCCATTTAAATGCAATGCTGCGAGTAGATATCGGTGCCAAATTTAACAAAAAAAAAGTAAAAAAATGCTGTAATAAATATTTACAGCATTTTTTTTACTTTTTTTTTTAATTATTATTATAACAATATTGTACACACTAATCAGACCTACCAATACGTATTAATACCAAATGGGATGAAATTGTGTTTATTGACATATTTTTTTTATAAAAATTGTTAACATTGTTTATTTAATATTAAAGTATTTTAAATTTTTTCATGTCTAATTGTGGCGAATTATGTGGACTTAATATTATTTTAGCACCTGTGTATTTACCATATTTCTTGCATATAAATATTCATTCATTCATTCATTTATGTTGTTTTATGTATTATCTATTTTTATGAACATGTTGTGTGTGATTAGTAACATACAAATAAACGATATATCTATCTATCTATCTATCTATTTATAGAATTTAGTAATAATAGTAATAAAGAAATTAAAGTTTGTATTCTTGGATTTGATTTTTATTTACTACTTCCTAACTTATTTATTTAAGGCAAACATACAGCTATAGCGATACATAATTACACACTTAAATAATATTTTAACAGCCACTAAAGTTTACACAAATGTATAATGCAAGTGAAGGAAAGACATAAAATTATATAATACCATTGAAAACTACAGCACCATTGTCAGGTCAGATGTTAACAAAGCCATCCAGTGTCACATTTCACAATAGAAAAAATGTAAATAAAAGTGTTAAAAAAATAAAATAAGAAAAAATAAACATTATTTAAGAAAGTTAAAATTTGATTCTTTATTAAAGAAATTAAATAAATAAAAATATATAAAAATAATTATAAAGAAAACTATTGCAATATAGGCTTATTTAAGTATTAATAGCAATAATAAATCCTTGTAATATACAAAATAGTAATAAAAAATAAATGTCACAACTATACAATATAATAGGAAATCCTTAGTTCACTCACTGTTGCAATAAAGTATGAAGTCCTTAACTCCCGAGGTAAGTATGAAAAGCCTGTGTTTCAGGAGTCAATGCCCTCTTCCATATGTTGTTGTATTACAAACAGAGTAGTACTAAGATATAAAAACAAAAATTACGAAGGAACCCATAATTTCAGTGAAACAATAGGTTATGGGTACAGCGAAAGTTGTGTGATGTAAATCTGTGAGTTTGTGAGAAATGTACACACACAATGTACATACAGTTTAGTGTATGTATGAGAGGAGATAAGTATGTAAATTTATTATTGAGTAGTTACGCCTATGATTTTGTGTTATATAATTACTGATTTACAAAAACATCAATAGTAATTCCGTCATTATGCACATAGAATTTTGTTGCCATCTTGTAAAACTAGTACGGCATTTGATTGGCAAGTAAACATTAGTTATGGTACGTTTCTTTTAATTATATAATAAATAATATTTTTTTATTATTATGTAATATATATATATATATATATATATATATATATATATATATATATATATATATATATATATATATATATATATATATATATATATGTCTTTTTTTCAATGTCGTCTACCCAGAGATTGCTTCCAGACAACTTTTGGGTCAAAGGACATGTACTACAAACTACTGGAATCGCAGCGTTAACATATTCATCAATCTTTCCTTGTTGAGTACGGTCAGAAAAAAGTTTGTACTTAAAAAAATATTGTACTTATTTACCTATCAAATAATGTGTTAAGAGGTAATGTATATGTTGTTTTTTTCTTAAAATTATTATTTTATATTATTATATATTTTTTTTAATATATAAATCCTTCCATTACTTCCTTCAACACAAGATTGAAACCTCATTGATTTTACATACTATAGTATATACTTTTATTTATTTACAATTTATATATGTTTATATTAATTGTATTCTATTTACATTCTATACCTTTCCTGCACTAGATTAGCCGCTAATTATTTTCTCTCTAACTTCATTGGGTTGGCTAAAAGAGATCTTTTTTGTAGATAAGCCTGCCCTTTATATATATATATATATATATATATATATATATATATATATATATATATATATATATATATATATATATATATATATATATATATATATATATATATATATAGAGTTTAATTGTATACAGTCATAGGTGTGAGAGTGTATTCTTAGGTTATCACAGGTATTTTTTTTTATGGATGATAATGTAATGGGAACCTCACCCGCGCTATCGGTAAACACTGGTGGAGGACCAATGAGGGATGATTTGTGAAGGTGAAAAGGTAGGTCAGTTAGCCCATCGTGACTAATTTAACGATATATTAGTCACTATGGTTTCCAGGGAGAAACGTGTGGAGGTCGACCTGATAAGGTATATTAATAGCAATGGGGACTAACATCCCTATTACTAACAATCCCTTCCCCCCACAGATAAAAGTCAGCTTTCTACAATACATTATTTTATTTGTGTCACACGCCTGCGTGGCATTTAGTAATTTAATTTCTTACCACTACATTATTACTGTTATTTCGACAGGCGTTACAGTGACACTGTCAATAAAAAATATTATGAACTACTTATATCCTGCCACTTCATCCGCGTGAAAAATATACATACATATAAAGCATCCTGATACAAAACGATATAGACCATATGGAAATATCGGTTTAATTCAACTAAAAATAACGATACATTGGTATTATTACAGACAATAGTAGTTAGAAAGGGAATGTCACAATCTTAAGTCAATAATAGAAAAGCAAACCAGTATTTGTAAAGAGTTTCGTATACTACACATCCTATGTCATCCATGTACCAAATTCCATTTAAATCCGTTACCATAGTTTGTAAACGAAAGCGTGACAAACATCTATTACAGCGTATACCGATAGCGCAGGCAGGGTTTACCATTACATTATCATCCCATAAAAAAATGGGGTAGGCTATGGTGGGCTAGCAATGGGGTTACTTATCTCCAATACTAACGATATCTTCTCCTCCAGCAGTGAACAGTTAATAGTTGACATAATAATGCAGGGAGTCAGTGGACGCAAGTGGCTTACGACCGTTCTTTATGGCAGTCTACGGGGGAGGCTTATGTCCAGCAGTGGACGGATAATGGCTGAATAGATGATAATGATAATAAACCATGTTTCCTTGGTGAAAAAGTTTAATTTTCAGCGGATAGAGTTCACCTTCTTCATAGGATACTAACAATTTTGATTATAATCTGTAATATTTATTTATTTATTTATTTTTAAAAGATACACTAACAATCATCATCATCATCATTCCTACACTTATTCCAATTATTATTTGCGGTCGGCGTAATATGGTTTTATACATATTACAAAAAGATTTGGCATAGGTATGCCGCCTGCTTGACGTCAACTCTCTTTGGGAATGCATTTGTTGGTGGTTCCTGCCACCTACGGAGGAAAGGATTGAGGAAAAAAAGGAAGGGAACGTTGGTAATGGGTAAAGGAAATTAGTAAATGAGAAGAATACACCATCCACATTAACAATATGTCCACAGTAATTAAACAAACTAGGTAATGTTATAAGTAAGCTTAAAGCTAGATGGACATATCAATTAGAGGCGTATACAGCTCACACATAAGTGTTAATTAATATATATATATATATATATATATATATATATATATATATATATATATATATATATATATATATATATATATATATATATTAATAATAAACAATTGGAATAACGTGAATTAAAAATGTGTGTTAACAACGTGAAAATTTAAAATAACTATATCACCATCATAATTTCAGCCATTATCCGTCCACTGTTGGACATAGACCTCCTCCATAGACTCTCGTATATATATATATATATATATATATATATATATATATATATATATATATTTGAACAAAAGATACAGCAATTAGATTAACAACTTGTTAGCAAGGGTGGGCTTATCTCTAAATGAGATCTCTTCCAGCCATCCCAGTGCAGAGAGAATATAATTAATAATTATTTTCTCTCTAACTGCTCTGGGATGATATTATTATTACGGGACAGATTCTATATTATCTATATTGCATTAAAAAAAAATACTAAAGATGTCGATGTTATGGTCAGCGTTTAATGGCTTTATTATAGGATGATAACATTCTAATGATTGACAACAATATTATTGAAACAAACCTGTTGTACATATAATTACCTTAGTAATAAATATAAATTGTTCTTCGTATCCTTTTCATCAATAATCACATCACTAGCAAACTACCGCAAGTATCACAGTTGATTTTAACAAAACCACCACACCAAACCTGTGTAATCCGCGCAACTTAACCGTTCGTGATATTTGATATGTCTCTATTTATTTATTACAGAATACGGATATGTTATTGTCAAATATTATATTTTGTTTTTATTTTATTTTTATTTTATCTATCTAAATATTTATTTCAGTCGTGTTTTGTACGAGAGGACGTGGCCGTTCGGCGCGCTACACTGATGAGCGAAGGGTGTGTTTATAGGGTGACAATTGTCTACGGATATATCTGGAATGAATCAGTCAGAGAATTTCACGTGCAATATTTTTTCATGTTATGAATATTATTAAAAAAATTATAATATATTTATTTATTTATTTAACTTTTTATTGCACCATAAATAAAAATATACAATGACAAGTGAATGATTCAAGTGAAATACAGTAACATAAATACAGATTGAAATATACACATAAAGGTACAAAAGGCGATCTTATCGCTAGGGCAAACTCTTACAGACAACCTTTGGTTAAAGGTGAACAGATAGAAATGGGCAGGTGGCGCAAGAGTGAATTAATAATTTTTCGTGTATAAAATACAAAAACCTGTAATATATACAATTACTGGACAATGTTTTTGAATACATATATTGTATTTAATATATAATTATTAGGTTTTTTTTAATAGGTAAAAATGAATAAGTAAGAGTAGGTGAGAATGAAATAAGGAGTTATAGTTAAAGTAGTTCTTATAGTAAAGGAATGTTATTTCGCTCAAATCATAGCTCCTTAGTTTTTAAATATTTCTGATTTATTTTAAATCTGGAATAAGGAACTAATTGGCTTCTATATAGGTACTGAAATTCAGCTAGATTCGAAAATATCTTTGTGGAGAAAAGTGCTTAAACATGAGCAAAATTGACACTTTCCTGTGGGGTGATGTTTTTTTTTTTTTGATGGGTGAAAATGGTATGGTAACCCCGCCTGCGCTAACGGGATACGCTGGCGGAGCACCAGTGAAGGGTGATAGATGAGAATGAAAACAGGCCAGTTAGCCCATCATGATGAATTCATCAGGAATTAACCATGATAGTTTCCAAGGAGAACCGCGAGGAGGTCGACCTGGTTGGGTATATTGCTAGCAATAGGATTCTCAGTCTCCATTACTAACAATCCCTTTCCCCCCCGTGGGGTGATGTTACAAAATGCAAGTTTTCTACCAACATAGTACGTAAAGTAAGTACTTAAATCAAAGAGATTATATCTAATCACAGTAATAATAAATAAAACTTTGCTAAAATGTAAAAAGAAGTTGCGTGTCTCCTTAATTTTAGTCGATTTTTCATCATAGAACAGGGGCGACATGATTGTATATCACTTTCCTGGCAGCTAAAAACATGTGAAGAATACTGATAAATTGAATAATGAACGCTGTTACCACATTTCCGAAACAAAGTACATAGTAAAATAAGATCACTGCCGCTTAAAATTTCGCCTAACAACCAATCAGATAGCCGCCACGAAGATCTCGTCGACCGCAGACTCCTTCGGTTCAGATCACTTCTCACTTGTCTGGCATGTATTTACGTAAACAATATTTGGATTTCCTAAATATTGTTTATTATTTTCAACATACCATGCAAACACAAGCATTTTTGTATTTTTTATGAAAAACCTCAAAATTACTGGTATCACTTTCCTGTGTGTCACTTGTTTGAATAAATTTCATTATAATAGATTATATAATTATATTCGCCGTGTGGTCCTGGCATAGAATGGACCACCCCTTTCTTTCCCGTGGGTGTCGTAAGACCAACTAAGGGAGGACGAGGGATGAGCAGCAGCGTCCCTCTTAAAACATCTCTAAAAGCCTAATTGCTGTGGCCAACCTGCCTGCCAAGAGTCAACTACTGGCAAAACTCCCCTTATGGGGAAGGCTTTTATCCAACAGGAGAGAGTTAACGGCTGAAATAATTATATAATAAAAACAGACTATGTTTGTCCTAAAATGTATTAGTAAGTGATGCCACCCTGTCGGGGTGACAGCATAGGAACGGAAGAGGTGTGGGGAGATGCCACGCATGCGCACAAGCCTACAGACGGAGGCTGGAGCTACTCTTACAAGTCCGATAAATAGGCAACTCTATTCAACACATCAATAAATTACACACACACACACACACACACACACACACACACACAAAAGAGATACGTGTTTACGTGCATTGTCCTTGGCTCGTCTCCGACATCGTTGTGTGCGTGTGTTGTACAAAGCACGGGGACATACGTTGAACAAGTGGACATGATAAGTTACAAAAGCTGGCCAAGATCGTGTTGGACATACCGTGACAGGGTTCCGTGTTGGTTTTCATAGTAACAAAATTTAATTAGATATCTTCTATATCTATAATTATAATAAAACCGTAAAGAGGTCAATTCTGTACATGAAATATATTTCCAAAATAACTATCAGGGGGTGATTAGTGATCGATACTGATGCCAAAAATGCAATCAGTAAAATTTTTGTCTGTCTGTTTGCCTGTATGTTCGTTATAAAAACAAAAACTACTCGACGGATTTTAACGAAACTTGGTACAATTATTCTTCATACTCCTGGGCAGGTTATAATAAACTTTTCATCACGCTACGATCAATAGGAGCAGAGCAGTGAAGGGAAATGTTAGGAAAACGGGAGAAGTTACTCCATTTTTAAGCTTCGGTCGCGTGTGCAGCCTTAATGGCCACTTTTTAAAATGTACAAATGTCCACCCGTGCGACGCCGGGACGGGCCGCTAGTATTTGAATAATAAGAAATATTACAAATAAATAAGACTTTAACATTTTGCACGCCATTAAAACAATATGGAATTAAAATACCATGTGATTCTATAACACTAATTAAGATCTATTTGAACCATATTTATGCAAATAAATTACCACTTATTAATGGGTGTGTTTGGGATTATTTTCTAGGGGGTGAGGTAGGCTTAAAAAACAGTTATTATATACTCTCAGACGTATACTTTGTGTTTTCTTAAAAGTCCTTGTTCGCATCCTAGCCTGGGCATTACACAACTCTGGGATGGGCACGGTACCCCCTTAAATACGCCTATGGGAATAATTATAATAGACATAATAAAAACCGATGGAAACTGAACTCATACGCTGAGGATTCTGAAAATAGACATGAAATTTAATTACTTTATGTACAAAGGTCTATCTATCTATCCTATTTAAGAGCTGAGCTCTTGCCACTCACTACGATTTTCAGCGAGTCTCTTCACCTCTTGATACGACACGACACCAACTTCTTCCTTGATCTACCTGATGTTACTATGCCTCGGTCTCCCTCTTTCCCTCCTTCCTTCTATCTTACCTTCTATTATAATGTTCATAAGTTCGTCGTGTCGTATCAAGTGTCCAAACATTTTTCCCCTCCTTTACACAAAAATATATAGTGTGTTTAAATAAACAACTAATATTAATAATGTATAATAATATTTCGCCGTGTGGTCCCGGCATAGAATGGGCCACCACTTCTTTTCTCGGGGGTCTTGTAAGAGGTAACTAAGGGGAAACAGCATTTTATTTTTCCATTAATATTCACATATACCTTTATAAACTAATTAAATCAAACTTCAGAGATAAAAATGCGGGGAAAATAATATTTTTAACCGACTTCAAAAAAAGAGTATGTTCGATTGTATAATATATTTTTTTTTATACGTATTCAATCTTAAATTAAAAACTACGTAACATAAAAATAATTAAAAAATTATTTTAAATGTACAAATATTCATATATCATATAACAAATACTCATATATGACCCTTCATTTGGATAAGTGGGGTACTTTTCAAATCTTGAATACCCCTTTTAGACCCCCTCCCCCCAACCCGTAAAAGGAATATTTTTCGATTTATTATCGTTGACTCCAAAAGATAATTATATTGTTGTTCCCGTATTAAAGCTCTGTTACAAAGCTAATGCTGACAGACAGACGAGCAGACGGGATAGGTGGACGAACAGACGGACTGAGACTTTTTTTATACCACTGAGGTGGCAAACAAGCATGCGGCCCACCTAATGGTAAGCGGTTACTGTAGCCTATGAACGCCTGCAATACCAGAGGTATTACAAGCGCGTTGCTGACCCTGAAGAAACCTCTTAACCCCTCTTTTGAAGAACGTTATCATATAGTCTCTTGGGAAAACCTTGGCAGGGAGCTCACTCCATAACCTGAGTGTTCGTAGGGGAAACATATCGGAAACCGAGTTGTACATAACCATCTCGGCTGTAGGATATGAGGTTGAACTCCCAGTCGATGGCGAGCCGTACGATGGTAGAAAGCAGCAGTGAGTATCATATTCATCATCATCATATCACCAGAGGGAGACTTTGTACAAAAGTCGATTGCTTGGGTACCTCTGTCCCATTTGTGTTCCTACCGTGAAGCAGTTGTGTATGCATGGCTGTGTTTCGGTTTGAAGAGTGGGATATGGCTTGAATTTACTGGGTACAGAGGAATAACACCTGAGTCCTCAAGAATGGCAACGCATGGGGGGTATCATGGGCGCAACAGTATACTTTGTTATGTCCATGGTACTGCTCATGTCTATAGACGACGGTTACCACTTTCCATCAGGTAGGCCGTCACCTTGTTTGCCATTTTAAATTGTATAAAAAAAAATTGAATAATTCCTCTGAGCATAATCCGTTGTACAAGCTGTAGAATACGCAGAGTAAGCCATAATATTCCAATAATGAAGTACTGCGTTCGTGATTTACTGTTCATCACAATGGTTGACTGGTAGAGAATGCTAAGCCAAGAGCATTAAATCCGCCTTTTGTACCATATTATATTTTGGTCAATAAATTCCCCTTCCTATCACGTGGGTGTAGTATGAGTCGACTAAGAGAGAACGAGGAATGGGCAGCAGCATCCATCTTAAAACATCTCTAAAGTCTGATTGTGGTTGCCAATCCGCTTGCCAAGCGTAGCAACTACTGGCAAAACCTCCCAAAGGGAGGCTTATGTTCAGCAGTGGACAGTTAAGGGCTGATAAGATGATGATGACGATACATATATATATATATGTTTATAAGGATATAACGCTGTAATATTAGTTAAGGTTTAACCCTTTCAGAACTGAATTATTTTTTTTCATCCGATGGATTTGGTAAATTCCATGTGTCTAAAGTATAATAAGGAGACTATAAAAAAATAAATAAAAAAAAATTAGCTTTACATTTTTCGAGGAAATCTAGTTTTTCTTAATGTGCACAAATGTGGACTCCCGTCCTACATAGTAATAAGAATAAGGTATACGAAGTTGTTCTGAAATGAAATAATATTAATTTAAAAACATTTTTATTACAAAATTATAAATGAATTAACGTAGTTAAATTTTTTCTTTGTGATAAAATAAACATTTATTAGTTTTTTGGCATAATCAGTTATTGGTACAAATATAAAAACACAGTAAGAACAATAATTAGGAAAAAAAAATCTTTATCTATGTGTGGAAAGCCAAGAAGCAATTCTTGTCTTTGGTTAGGTATAAATGAACTTTGCATTTTACACGGGATTTTTCCTTGCATCTCACCATTTTACACCTAGTCCCAGTTCCATCGTCATGTTTAGGGAAATGCCCAACACCGTCACGAGTTATTTCAGCTGCAGAACGAATCTCTCCTGGCCTTCTTGGTATAATTTGCTACTACTGCTACTTGGTCGACCTCTTTTGGTGGTAGAACATTTATCTTGTAGCACCAAACTGTCAGCCAAGCGACGACGAAAGTAAAGTAAGTCCTTACTTTTTAGGTGTGCCGTTACAAGTCGTTATCTATTTGGTATTCTTGATATGCCTGAAGAACTCCCACATCCGATGCATAAAATATCATACGCAGAGTAAATTTTTTTGATTCTATAACTGTTCTGTAATAGCTCATAAGTTGATCTAATAAATTAACGCCACCCATTGCATGATTATAGCGCTTTAAGACCTAAGGTCGCGCAACCTCAATATATCGCTTCTTTTTTTACACCATCTCTTTACTAAGTCCTTGTCACCTATACCAACAAAATTGGAAGCCAAATGGGTAATCTTATTGTCCAACCACTTTACATCAGTTACATCTCCGTCTCTGCTACATACTTCTTGAAAAAAACCCCTAGGCTTCTTATTTGTTACCTTGTCACTTAAAAACGGTGGTTTAACAAATCTGTTAACACGAGCTGTGCATGCGGCCATAATACCTTTTTGTTTTAGGATTTGTAGTAAATGGTATGATGAAAAATTATTGTCAAAGTAAAGCAGGGACGCCGTCATACAATTCGCTAGGTCCTTCATTGTCATCAAATTCAGGTGGAAAAAACTCCCTTTAGTTTTGGTAAATGACATCTGCGCTAATTCTAGCATTAGCTGCTAGATTCAATTTGCTCGACAAATTGAATCTCCATAATAATTATCTTCGTCATCAGATGATAATAATAAGTCAGAAAGATCTCCTTCATCTTATCATACTTGTAACGCCTCCAATGAGGACATATTGGTGTTTTTGCATCTGAAAATATAAGTAAACAATATCATAATTCATTTTATATATTTATCTTACAAAAATGATTAATAAAACGTTAAAAATATAAACAAAACATATTTTTTTAAAAAACCGTGAACAATGAGAAAAACTCAGTTAAATCCTGATGGGAACAATTGAGCACAAATATAAAAATCGAGATTACCAATATAAGGTAATAAAAAAATACACAAATATTACGTTACACACATGACCCCAATAATATTAGATATTCGTTTATATTTTTTCCAGATGATTTCATGCACTAATTTAATTTTTTTTAAGTAAAATATAAAGCTCACCTGTATAGTTCAAATCACGCACGGACACTAGTCGCAAATTGTCGAAAAATGCCAGAATATCCTAAAAAATGGCGTAAGTAGTATTAAATTGAGTAGTTTATTAGTGAACAAACGAATACAACCCCTTTTCAATCGGAAAGCTTGAGAGTTTAATATTTATTTTTTAAATTATATCTTATGTCTACAATTGTGCACGCCAGTTCTGAAAGGGTTAAAGTGAAATATTTATTTATTTATAAAAGATACACCAACAATATATTCACAATAATTAAACAGAAAATTTGCAATGTTATAAGTAAGTAAGTAATGAAAAGTTACTATACATATCAGTCCCTACAAGTACCGTTCACTAGTATGACCTATATGTCAGCCCGTTCACGAGTATGATCAATACGCCAGCACTCACTGAATACAAAATGAAACGTTACGTATTATACCTACTAAATTGCCCACTTACCCATGATACCTATGAGGGAGCTCCATCGCTCCACGGTCAATTAAACTTTGAATGTAAAATATTTACCAACTTGGAGATTTACTTCGAAGTTCGAGAGTCCCGTGGGATGAAAAGGGACAGCCGCGGGAAAGAGACCCCGTATCTCTTTAAATTGGGGTTATCCATATAACTAGCCATTTAAGAACAAAGGAAACTTTTACGCCCTTCTCAAACTTTGTCGAATAATTAACGAAGGAATTGATTTAATGAATTCGCTGTAATTAAGGATCAATGAACATACTCTTGTATCTCTATCACTCAAGTACTATAGAACAGAGATAGGTGATTTACAAATAATTTGCAAGTTCAGTTAATGTTTCTACGACATTCGTTTGTGACTCACTACCGACCCGCCTCTATTTTTTTTTTTTGGTGGATGAAAATGGAATGTTACCTACGCTAATGGGATAAGCCGGCGGAGCACCAGTGAAGGGTGATATATGAGAATGAAAACAGGCCAGTTAGCCCATCATAATGAATTCATCAAGAATTAACCATGATAGTTTCCAGGGGGAAACACGAGGAGGTCGACCTGGTTGGGTATATTGCTAGCAATGGGATTTTTAGTCTCCATTACTAACAATCCCTTCCCCCCCCCCCCGGGCCGCTATTTTGCTCAGGTGCAAATTATATACACAAAGTTTCTGCAAAAAATTGTCTAAATAACAGTGGAAATCGTATCAAAATGCTTCATGTGGTTTAACAGAAGTAAGGGATGAAATTGTCAGACACGAATATCTGTTTTGTTTTATACAATTTTTTTTTAATGGATGATAATGGAATGGTTAATTTTAAACTTTCGCGTTGTTTACACGTATTTTAAATACACAATCGGGACTTAACGCGATGTAAAAGTCTTTAAAATAGTAACTACATACTTGCTCCTTTATTGCCGAAGTCCTGTCGTGATCACGACGTGGTGCAATCCACGTCGAAACGTCGGCAATAAAGAAGCAGGTAAGTAGGTACTATTTACCTGTAAAAGCTTTTACATCGCGTTAAATCCTGATTGTATATTTAAGATAATGGAATGGTTACCCCGCCTGCGTTACCGGTATACAATGGCGAGGTACCAGTGAGGGATGATAAGTGAAGACGAAGCAGGTCAGTTGGCCCATCGTGACAAATTCACTAATGAATGAATCACGATGGTTTCCAGGGAGAACCACGAGGAGGTCGACCTGATACTGCTAGTGATAGGGTTGTTAATCCTCATTACTAACGATCCCTTTTCTCCACTGTTTTATACTATTTAAAGATAAGTAGAAATTATAGCTTTTTATGTGCATGATAATTGAAAATAAAAATTATTAAAATGCTTCTAAGAAAATGTTCTATGAACTGGGCTCTTTCAACCGACTTCAAAAATAAAGAGGTTCTCAATTAGGCTGTATTTTTTTTGTTTGTCGTCTGTTGTAAACCGAATATTAATTAGTAGTTAATTAATTAGAATATTATTATATACTAGAATATTATTTCCGAACGAACCGAAACGAACTTTTTTTTTATACAACTTAGAATGGCAAACAAGCTGACGGTCCACCTGATGGGAAGTGGTAACCGTCGCCTATAGACATAAGCAGTACCATGGACATAACAGAGTATACTGTTTCGCCCATGATACCCCCTATGCGTTGCCATTCCTGAGGACTCAGGTGTTATTCCACTGTACCCAGTAAATTCACGCCATATCCCACCCTTCAAACCGAAACATAGTCATGCAAACACAACTGCTTCACGGTAGAAACACTAATGGGACAGAGGTACCCAAGCAATTGACTTTTGTACAAAGTCTTTCTCTGGTAAATGAACTTAATGTTATAGCATTAAGTCCTCATTTTGTATCAAACATTTTTTTTTGTAAAATGGTTAATAAATAATAAGTATCTAATAAGATGATATTAAGGTTAAAGATTGAATGATTTAATATTACATCATTATTATTTAAAAATTAAGATTAAGACTTTGAGTAGAGTAAATAAATTAATAGCTTTTATCGTCATTTTTTGCTTGACCTTCACCAGATGTATGGACTGTATCGTTGCACGAAGTCTATGGATGCAAGTGGCGTGATGATATAACATATGTATGATAGAACCTATGTTCAGTTGGGGGGAAAGGGATTGTTAGTAATGGCGACTGAGAATCCCATTGCTAGCAATATACCCAACCAGGTCGACTTCCTCGCGGTTCCCCCTGGAAACTATCATAGTTAATTCCTGATGAATTCATCATGATGAACTAACCGGCCTGTTTTCATTCTCATCTATCACCCTTCACTGGTGCTCTGCCAGCGTATCCCGTTAGCGCAGGCGGGGTTACCGTACCATTTTCACACATCAAAAAAAAAAACCTATGTTCAGCTCTGGACAAGGAATTGTAATAATCATGTAATAATCATCAATCATGACCTGTGACTTTTGAAATGAAATGAATATTGCATTTTACGTGTACATTGTATAATAAATAATTATACATTACATAACGTGCATAAAACTCTAAGATGTTGACAATTTTTAGCTAAATTATAATTGATCTAATATTAAAATTTTTGTGAGCAGTCACGGTGATTTCGACTAAAGTAGACATTATGTTGTCTGTGCTCTAATATAGTTTTTTTTTTTTAACTAGAACTTCCAAAACCATTTAGGCTAATGTCCGTTGTTCCCAGCCTTCCCTGCGTACAAGTTTAAGCTTGATCATCTCTCTAGGTTGATTTACAATGGTCGTTGCTCCAAACTGCAGCTTTCGTGGCGTGCCTTCAGGCAGCTCCACGCGGTACTTATTGAAGAACGTTATGATGCCGGCCATCATTTGCATCTTCGCGAAACGCATGCCTGAGGACGAATATGAATAATTAATTATCATCAATAATTGACATTAATTATAATAGATAACCTGAAATTAGAGGTCTGTAATATATATATATATATATATATATATATATATATATATATATATATATATATATATATATATATATATATATATATATATATATATATATATATATATATATAAGTTACATATTAGCCTAATAATGAATATGTTAAATATCAGTTGTCATATTATATCGAATGAAGAAATTGATCGAAATCTCTGATCGGTTTGGGCGATATCTATATAGATAGATAGATAATATATGTCTAGTGTAATCCGATATATTCATATCGGAGTGGTACCAATATTACCCATGTCTGCCTCAATACTTGGCCGTATATTTATTTGTCATCATAGTAGTATAAAAATATATAAATACTAATGACAAAATAAACTAAAAGTAGTACTGTAATTGTAAAGTATGGAATTATTACTAAAGATAGCAAATTATAAGATAATCATTTATCTTGTTATCGTTTTGTAATATGCCAAAATGAAAATAACGTATTCAGTAGTAACAGAGTTCTAAGAAAAAAGAATGACAACCGTATCTTCAATAACAAACAGAGAAATATTTACTCAGATTTTAAAAGTATAATACCTAATTCGATAAATAATATAATCAACAGATATTGTTTGTCATTCTAAGTTGAATAAAAAAGAAAGCTTACCTATACAAATCCGAGGCCCTTCTCCAAACGGCAGATAAGTGTACGGTTTGATATTTTGCTGCTGATCACCATAGAATCTCTCTGGACGGTACTCCTCTGGTTCCGGGAAGTGATCAGGATGGTGATGTAGGTGGTACACCGGGATATGGATGCGCACCCCCTTGTCCAGCACCGCGCCGCACGGAAGAGTGTATTTTTCCGCCAATTCACGTGTTAAAACCGCAAACACCGGGTACAAACGCAGGGTTTCATTAATACATGCTTCCACGTACGGCATTTCTGTGATACACTCATATTCCAATTTGTTGTTCTGTCGTCTCAAATACTCGTCCACTTCTTCGATGACTTTATTTTGAGCTACTGGATGCTTTGCAAGTTCGTACATGAAATATTGTAATGTCGTAGAAGTCGTCTCAAAACCACCCGCAAAGATTAATACACACTGAGACACGAGAAAGTCGTCATCTACTTTCATTTTTATTCTTTTTTCGTCACCTTTCATGTTTGATAGTTTGTCGCCAACAATGTATTTCTGGTCGTTGAATTTCAACACTAAATCGACAAAGTCATTCCTCAGCGACGGCTTGTAATTGCGTCCGGCAAACACATTAGTCATTAGTTTGTGGAAGAATCTATCCACCTCTGTTGGAAAGCTCTTCATTCCGAGACCATAAAACAATGCCGGCCAAATAGCTCGTGTTATAAGTTTAAAGCCTCTGTAATAAGTCTCTAAAAATAAAGTTTTCCCCATGTAAGTGAAGGGATTATCTTTGGAATCTCCTTCCATTGTTTTCGTGTTAATACCAAACGCACATGTACCAATACTGTCCATGGTGTATCTAGCGAATAGTGTTCTAATTTGTACCAGCTGATTGTTATCAAATTCATTATCAAGCATTCTCTCTAATCCGTGACAGCTATTTTCGATCAAATAAAACATGTTCTTCATTTTTGCTGATGAGAATAGCGGCGTTAAATTTTGTCGTAACACCTTCCATTTGTCGCCGTAAGTGAAGAATAGATTTTGAGTGAAGATTTCATTGTCGCAATAATTCGAGATCTCCCTACCGCTGCAGTAATAGAAATCTTTGGTCATTATTTGTTTTATTATCTTCGGGTCTTGAACCATGAGCGTCGGTTCGGTTCCGTAGAAAGCGCCGAAGTAAGGCGCATCGGGGAATTGATTACATATTTTCTGTGCTACTTCACCAAAAGATCTCTTCATAAGTATATATTCACCATAATTTCCCAGAAGAGGCGTGGGTTTGGCATATGGTATTTTTCTTTTTCTCCAATAATTGCCCCTTACTTTGAGTGCGTAATATATCAAAAGTACGGATGCAAATAACAATACCGTCCCGATCATGGTTAGGTCGTGTACTGGCGAGACTATTTAATTAAATACCTAGTGTTCAAAAAAATTAATAATTAATATAATGATAAGTTTATGATAAACAATTAATGTGACCAAGTCCAAGTTGTAGTAGCCTATACTAATATTATAAGGAGGGAAAATTTGTCTTTTTGTTTGTAATGGACTTAAAAATATTAAACCGTTTTAAAATAAAAATCACCTATAGAAAGCTATGTCATCAGTCCAAGGTACTATTTTATTAAAAAAAATTAAAGATCTACTAATCCACCCGTGCGAAACTGGGGCGAGTGGTTAACAATTTATCATAAATGAATTAATATGACCAAGTCCAATATTTTTCTGACATATCGTTTTGTAAGCAGTAATCTTACTGATAATAATAATATTGTAATTAAACGATCTGTGTACGTGGGAGATCTTCAAGGAAAATTAATATGAGGGTTTCAATAAAACAATTAGATGCCAGAACAATATTTTTAAAAATATTCTCTGTCTTTCTGTCTATCTGTATCTGTTGTCTGTTTCAGAATCACACAAGAACTATTGGACTAAATTGTATGCGGATTTCACAGTTTTCCCTTAAGGTCTGCTTAAAATCTGGTGTACATTTCATCCTTAGATTATTTAGATAGCGTCTCCATAAAAATGCTTCGAGAAAAACAAGTCAACTTTTTAATACAATTTCGTGTGATAAATAGTTATGAATGACTCCTTTATAGCTTTTATATTTATTTTGTCTTATAAATTTTGCATCTTTTTAAAGCGTAAATACTCATTTTATTTATTAAATAATATATAATATAATGCTTCAATAAAGAAAACGACTCAGCTAATTTGAGAATTCGCTGACAAATAGTTGACCTGTTTCTAAGACTCGATTATAGGGCTCAATGATCTATATTTATCTATATCTGTCTATATCTATCTATATCTATCTATACCTATCTATATCTATCTATATTTATTAGATTTCATCTTGATACGCTGTCTAGAAGTAGTCTATTTCATTAGTTTTTCTATTTATGAAAGCCGATAAAGGGTCAATAGATAATTGACAAACAGATTCACTTTCACATTATACAAAGATGCTGCCAGAATCAAAAATACTCTATTAATTAAAACTATATTTTTTGTTTATAATTGTTTTTTTATATGTTTTCAATGTGCAATAGTTATTAAGATGTCACAACGGCGCTTATCTACAACTCCGCAGCGGAATGGTGGCAGCCTTGTAGGCGTGGGTGATGTGAATACCGATCCGATATCTATATATTGGGTTTCACTAAATATTGATGGCGGAAAAAAGGTCATCACCCATTTCGATATCGCTCATATCGGTAAGATATCTTTTTTTTTTTATACATCTTAGAATGGCAAACAAGCTGACGGCCCACTTGATGGAAAGGAGTAACCGTCGCCTATAGACAATGAGCAGTACCATGGACATAACAGAGTATACTGTTTCGCCCATAATACCCATAATCCCTTCCATGCGTTGCCATTCTTCAGGACTCAGGTGTTATTTCTCTGTACCCTGTAAATTCACGCCATATCCCACCCTTCAAACCGAAACACAGCCATGTAAACACAACTGCTTTACGGTCGAAACACGAATGGGACAGAGGTGTCCAAGCAAACGACTTTTGTACAAAGTCTCCCTGTAGTGATCTCTACTCTAATTTCGAAAATGTTAAAAGTCTGTTTCAATTTTTTTTTAGACAACGGACTTATAACATATTCGTTCTTGTATTAGTATATAGATATTGTAACTAAAATATATAAATATTTCTATATATAATATTACCAACAGAAAAGGTTTCGATATATCGAAACCTTTTCACCTTGTAATGACCTATCGAATTGAATACGTTGAAAATATGTTATCCATTATTACTTTTTTTGGATAACAGACTTTTAATATATTCGTTATTAGATCAGTACATAGATATTGTAACTAAAATATATAGATATTACTATATATTACCCATGCCTACAGTCTAGACGTTTGTAATCTTTGACTTTCAGATTCATGTTTATTTTGTGAACTGTGAATGTTCATTAATGAGCACATATGTATTTGTTTATCTCTGACGATATCGTCAAAAACATTTAAATAGAGTTTACTAGCTTTTAACTGTGACTTTGCGTGATATATAATAAGTAGTCTATGTCCATCTCTTTCCAAATAGTATATATATATAAGGATTGATTAATCAGTAAAGGCACCAAGAGGTAACAAACAAACAAACTCATTTTCACATTTATATACATAATTGAAGTGTTATTGAATAAATCATCATCGTCATCATTTCAACCATCATCCGTCCACTGCTGGACATAAGCCTCCCCCATAGACTGCCATAAAGAACGGTCCTGAGCCACCTGCGTCCACTGACTCCCTGCATTGAATAAATACTCAATAAAAACTGTATATACACCACTCACAAAAATCCCGAAATTTCTGCGTTCACCTAAGGATACGATTCCATGTTAGACACCAGGCGTTTCCAAGATAGACAGTAGCTGTGGTAGCCCGTATATAGGTCAAACTAAACGGACCATAGCCGATAAGGTCAAAAAACACATAGCGGCAGTCAAAAACAGGCAAACAAATAAATTGACGATCACAGAACGCTTTTTAAACAGCTCTACTAATCACTAGTTTGAGCTGCATGACCCAAAGGTTTTTTTTTATAAGTGATGATGAGCAACTCTGTCTGCGCTATCGGTATACACTGACGGACCACCAGTGAGTGATGATAGGTGAGGATGAAAAGACAGGTCAGTTAGCCTATCGTGGAATTCAGCACGATAGTTTCCAGGGGAGACCACGTGGGGATCGACCTGGTTGGGTATATTGCTAGTAATGGCGCCATTAGAATTTATTGTTAACAAACCCTCTCCCCATAACACGATGGTTTTTTTAATGGGTGAAAATGGAATGGTAACCCCGCGTGCGCTATCGGTATACGTCCACGGGGCACCTGTGAAGAGCGACAGGTGAGGATGAAGGCAGGTCAGTTGGCCCGTAGTGACCAATTGAACAAGAAATAGTCACTATGGTTTCCAGGGGGAACCGTGTGGAGGTCGACCTGATAGGATGTATTGCTAGCAATGGGCCTGTTAAACCTCATTACTAACAATCCCTTTCCCCCTTAAATTGAAGGTTCTACTTACCGAGCGTCACTTAATAGTGACGGATAGTACGTGAAGCAATTAGGAAAAATCCGAAAAAAATTCATAGGGAAGATGGATATAGGATTTCATCAGCATGGGATCCAGTGATTAATATACAAAAAACGCGTTAATTTGTTTAAACGCAATGTGGATACCATGAATGCAGTGTATAGGGTGTCTCTACATAATTATGGTAACCATGTGAAGGTACTCGAAGAGACTACGCGAGCTGTGACACGAAGACTCCGCTCACTTCAGTTCTGTCGTGACCACGACGAAATGTCGAAATGTCAGCAATAAAGACGCATGTATGTAGGTACTTTTTACTTGTAAAAGCTTTTACATCGCGTTAAGTCCCAATTGTGTATTTAAAATAAATAGGTAAATGTCAACATTATCATATCCGCTTTTAGAAGTATGACATGTTAACTATATTAAGTTATGATGTAACAGTTTCATTTATGTTTATATATATATATATAATAAGTATTTTGAAGTCTGATAAATACTATCTACAAAGATTTGCATGCTATTGAATGTGGCAAAACATACTTGGTACAGAGGAATAACACCTGAGTCCTCAGGAATGGCAACGCATGGGGGCTATCATGGGCGAAACAGTATACTCTGATATGTCCATGGTACTGCTTATGTCTATAGGCGACGGTTACTACTCTCCGTCAGGTGGGCCGTCAGCTTGTTTGCCATTCTAAGTTGTATAAAAAAAAAATGTAATGTAAAGGGGGGGCCAGCGACGCTATTTAGTATCAGCATTGCACCCGTGCGGAGCCGGGGCGGGTCACTAGTGACTGATAAATCAACCTCCAATTATTGCTTATAATCACACCATATATGTTCTCTCTCTATCTACTCTACTAACTCTATCTACTTTATTAGAAAACAAATTGTAACATCTTATGTATTATGTAAATAAATAAATAACTTCACTGCCCACTGCTGAACAAAACAATCCTCAAGATTGAGACAGGGGTTTTGCCAGTAGTTGCCATGCTTGGCAAGCGGACTGACAACCACAGTTAGGCTTTTGGTGATGTTTTAAGAGTGCTGCTGGTCATGTGCCGACCATTAAGATTCCATCCAAAAGTTAACATATTTCGCCATAACATAATAATATGTATATATATAATGTTGATTAGTAGTATATAATATATCTAATATATAAAATTCTCGTGTCACGGTGTTTGTTACCAAACTCTTCCGAAACGGCTTTACCGATTTTTATGAAATTTTGTGTGCATATTGGTAGGTCTGAGAATCGGTGTATTGATAAGGGTGACCCTCCCCAAAAAAAATCTTTTTTTATTTTTTAACAAATTTTTACATTTGTATTTTATTATGATTTGATTTAGCATTAAAAAATACATACACCTTCCGAGCGTCACCCTTTTACGATCAGTTTTTTGACGGATTTTTATATTTCGTGAAACGAATTATGGTAAGTGAAAAATCCATGAAAAAAATTCATAGGTGTGCTGGAAGATGGATATAGGTTATGTTTCATCAGCATGGTTGATTCCAAAGAGTGATTAAAAGTGCCTTGAAATACAAAAAACGCAGGTATCAATTAATGCACAGAGATGCAACATCTCTTGTAAGACGCCGATCGTAATTCGAGCTGCCCGACTTTGAATCGGTTTAACGGAAAGTTGGTACTGTGGCGCTCATACACATGAGAATTCCATGTGTATAGAGCTTTATATAGTTTCAGGCGGTCTCTACATAATTATGGTAACCATGTGAAGGTACGCGAAGAGACTACGCGAACTGTGACACGAAGACTCCGCTCACTTCAGTCCTGTCGTGACCACGACGAAATGTCGAAATGTCAGCAATAAAGACGCATGTATGTAGGTACTTTTTACTTGTAAAATATCATTGATATGCAGAAGAAACAGTGTCGGAAATAGTAAAGTGCGGGACAAGCAGGTTTTAAGTCATATCCGCTACGTTTTAGAAGTATGACATGTAGTTTTAACTATGCCACATTAAGGTTCGCAATATGTAACAGTTTCATTGCCACCGCCCATCGGTGTGTTTATATATATATATATAATAAGTATTTTGAAGTCTGATAAATACTATCTACAAAGATTTGCATGCTATTGAATGTGGCAAAACATACTTGGTACAGAGCCGAATAACACTCTGGTGCGCACGTCCTAAGCACAATTGGAGGAATGCCATCGGGCCCACTCGACTTATGGATTTCAAGGGAGAGAAGTGCTCTACGCACTGATCTTTGCGTGAATTTAACATCCGGCATGGCTCTTACAACGCGGGATGGTCGGCGGTGGTTTCTCCCCGTCATCCAACGTCGAGTTTGATGCAAAGAGAGATAGATCAGCCTTCTCTTTGGCGTTGATATGTCCATGGTACTGCTCATGTCTAAAGGCGAGACGAAGGTAAACTAGCCAATCTCTTCAATCTACCAATGGGCCTCAGCTTGTTTGCCATTTTGAAGGTTGTACTTCTTTTAAAAAAATCTGTAATGTAATGTTTCAGGCGAGATGCTATTCTACAAGAGGCTCCATACCAGGGCTGGGATTTCCCACCGACAGGTACCACAGAGTTAGGAATAAATAATTCCATTCCCTGAAGCACCACATCGGCGATGAAATTGGCGATGGCGTCGGGGTCCCTCAGTGCGAAGCAAACCTGCCTCCATGGGTAAGATGCGAAAAAAATCCGCATCTCATTAGTCTGACCTGTATGCCAAAATCACACCGTGGATATGTTCTCTCTCTATCTCCAAGCGGAGCTTCTACGGAAATCACATAGTTGTCTGGGTGGGTGGTACTTAACATTAGAATGGTCCAAACAAATTGTAACATCGTTATTAAGTAAATAAATAAATCTTCCCGCATAGTCTTCACTGAACCAAGCCATTCGGTATGGTGGGCATTAAAACAAAACAATCCGGAAGAATCTGTTCGAGCAGGGAATCTGTAGTCATTTGGACGTGCTCAATGAGTTGGTCGGTTTCGATGTTACCGCTGTGGGACCTGTATAGGCATGCATAGACAATGGTCACAGTCTACGCGCAGCCATAAAATAGACAGGTCCGCACCTTGTTTCCAAGGCGGCGACAGCAGATATCCTCTCTGACATACGCGCATACACCGGCACGCGAAACAAAACAATGTTGCGGGTACGTCAAAAGTTTCGTTAACATATTCCGTTTCTATAACATAATAATATGTATATATATACACATATATATATAATGTTTGATTAGTAGTATGCCCCCCCCCCAGAATATATATATATATATATATATATTGTAAGATATTTATTTATGGGATGGGTATGGGATTGACTCACACCATACGGAAAAAAAATGTCTCGGTATTCTGTGAGGGTGACTTATTACTTCCCCGGCGGACTATATAGGATTACATGGCTCTCTGCAAGATCAATCGAAAATAATATTAAAAATGAATGAATTAAAAATGAAACTATAAAGCAGATTTGTAAACATATATATTATATATTTTTTCAATAAAATTTATTGAAGTTTGTACGTAAAGAATTATAAGCATTTTATAAATTAAATATATCTAATTTGTAAATTTTGAATTTAATGAATTTTTAAATAAAATAACTTATATTTTTTTAATTAACTAACAAAACCTGTCTAATTACATAAGTAAAGCCTATATAATTTTTTACGACAAAGTACATATACAGCTTACAATAGTTATGATTTAATAAAAAAATTTTTTACATTTTCTATATTATTTTATTATATTTTATTACCCTCTGCGTATTTTAATTGCCGGTCGACCCAATCTTCTCGTTCAACGAATCTCAACTTGATCTCTTGTATGGGTTGTGTTACAAGCGTGGTCGATTTAAGCTCTAACTTAAGTGGTACGTCATCAGCTAACTCCATACGGTACTTCTTCAGAATCGTAATTATGCCGGGAATAATCTGTATTCTTGAGAAGCGCATGCCTGTAATAAGAAAATAAGTACTTCATTAGTTTGATTTTATTTTTCTGTAGGCAGTGTGCAGAGGATTTTTAGGTTATATTTTTTGTAATAATACCATGTAGTTCCAGTATAGAATAGGTTACCCCTTTTCTCGTGGGTGTCGCAAGAGGCGACTAGGGGATCGTAATGGGCTAAGTATATAAATAGGTAGTAGCGTCCCTCTTAAAACATCACTAAAGCCTAATTGCAGTCGTCAACCCGCCTAAGCGTGGCAACTACTAGCAAAACTCACTTTGTTTACAGTTTATTTCTTGTTTGCTTCTTTTTATTTTAGTACTCTCAGGACAGATCATATAGATAGATTTAGATGGAATGTCAAGTGCTAAAAAGGGCTAAAAATCCTGATAAATTTGTCATGGTGTGCTAACTGGCCCAACTTTATCTTCGTCTATCAACCCTCACTGTCTCGCATAGCGTATACTATCCCATTTTTATCTTATTAAAAAAGTCTATCTATAGTTATTTCAGACTTACCTAAGCAAATACGAGGTCCTTCGCCGAATGGTAAATAGACATACTGTTTAATATCACGTTTTGCGTCACCTAAGAATCTGTTAGGGCGAAACTCTTCAGGATCTGGGAAATATTTAGGATTATGATGCAAATGATACACCGGTATATGGACTCGCACTCCTTTATCTAACACTGCACCACATGGCAGTGTGTACTGTTCACTAACTTCGCGGGTGATAACGCTGAGAACTGGATACCGTCGTAGCGTTTCATCAATACAAGCCTCAAGAAACGGTAATTCTGTAGTGCATTCGAAGCCAATCTTATTATTGTTTCGTTGTAAATAATCGTCTATTTCCTGTACCACTTTTGTTTGTATCTCTTGATTTTTTGCAAGTTCATACAACGCATAATGCAATGTCGTTGCTGACGTCTCGTAACCGGCTGCAAATATGCCTATACACTGGGACACTAAGAATTCATCATCAGCTTTCTGGCTTATCTTCCTTTCTCCACCTTTAGAAGATTTTAGACTATCACAACTTATATATTTGTTGTGTTTCATATTTAAAATAAGGTCCATAAAGTCATTTCTAGACGATGGCTTGTATTCTCTACCAGCGAATACATCTATCATTAATTTGTAAAAAAATTTAACGATATCGTCAGAAAAGTTTTTCATGCCAATACCGTAGAACACGGAAGGCCAGACTGATCGCGCTATTTGCTTGAACCCACTGTACTTTGTGTCATGAAATAGAAGATCTCCCATTATAGTAAATGGATTGTTCTCCGAGTTCCTCTCCATAGTTTTCGTATTGACACCGAAGATACATTCTCCGATGCAATCCATTGTGTACCTTGACATAAGAGTTCTCACTCTTATAACGTTGTTCTTACGGCATTCGTAATCTAGCAAGCTTTCGAACTCATGGGTACATTTCTCTATCAAATTGAACATATTTTTTAATTTCGATAATGAGAACATCGGTGATAGATTTTGCCGCAGCAATTTCCATTTGTCTCCATAACTGAAGAATAAGTTTCTGGTAATGAGCTCTTTGTGAACGTAGTCTGCTATCTCCCTGCTGCTGAAGTAGTAAAAATCCTTTGTCATAACCAGTTTTATTATATCAGGATCCTGAACCATAAGAGTTGGTTTACATCCATAGAAAGCTCCCACGTATGGTGAGTTGGGAAACTTCTGGCAAATTTCCTGCGCGGCATGGCCCATAAATTTTCTAAGGCATATATATTCACCATAATTACCAACAAAAGGCGAGGGCTTTATGTAAGGTATATTCCTTTTTGCCCAGTAATCGAATTCACGTATTGAAACATAGTAAACGAGGAAACAAATAACAGATAATGTAATTAGTACAAGCGCTATCATGACGCCGCTGTTCAGATGTCACTGCGAATGGCCATTGATTAAGACAAAACGATTTTGTTGTTCAGTTAAATGATATTGCAGTCACCACACATTGTAATTATATTTAGGATATGTATTTCTTTTTAAAATTTCTGTTTCAAAATGTCGAAATTCGTTTAGTGAAGTAACGTAGGAATTATAACATTTATAAATTATAAAAGATAGTATACGCTTTTTAACTTTCAGTGATATTTTAGAAAGAATAAAAAACAGAGCCGGTTATGTACATGTAATGAATTCATCAGGAATTAACCATGATAGTTTCCAGGGGAAACCACGAGGAGGTCGACCTGATTGGGTATATTGCTAACAATGGGATTTTTAGCCACCGTGGTTAATTCTTGTTGAATTCGTCAAGATGGACCTGCTTTTGATGGATGGATTTTTTTTTTTGCTTCAAAAATCCTTTTTAAAATTAAGGGTGTAGTGACGGAGTACGAATAGAAGTATCACCCTCTTTGAACTCTGAGACGTTACTGGAGACCCGCCAGCGTATATCGTAGTTGGGGTTACCATTTCATTACCACATATTAAAAAAAAATTACCAATGCAAGTGAATAAATATTGAAACAAAAAGAGTTTTAGTTAATTTGAAACTTTTGCAATGTTTACACATATTTAAATACACTATTAGGACTTAACGTGATGAAAATTTTATTTTCTCAAACATGCTTGGAAATGTGAACATTATTTTAACAATCTTCTTGGAGATAAATCAAACGTGCCGTACTGACCAGATACATGCGGGCAGCGGCCGGCAAAAGTTGTATGAAAATCTATATCTGTCGTGTTTTGTCACCAGATAAATTACTATGTAAACTCATATCTATCCTGTAATTTAAAAATGGAATGACCTTTTACTTCGAAACATGGCTACCAAGGAGGTAACTAATAAAAGGTTTTATTTAAATTTCGAACTGTCTTTCAAATAGAAAGCTTTTTATGTAAAAAAAAAAAAAGGAACATTATGGCGCGTGAAAAATTATTATTGTTCATTATTCGTCATTGAACTTAAAAAGTAAAATTGTATTTTGACAATGCATTGTTTGAGATAAAATACTTACTATACTGACCAGATACATGCGGGCTACGCCTCGGCCCACATTTGCACGTTCGACCATCAATGCCTCAGTTGCTGGCCGCTGCAGTAATGTACTATATCACAACAGGACGTGGTGCAATCTACGTCAGCAATAAGATGTAGGTACTATTTACCTGCAAAAATTTCTCATGGCCTTTAATCCCGATGATTTAATGAATGATAATGAAATGGGCAATCGCTATCGGTATATGTTCGTTATTCGTCATTGGGCAAAAGTGATTGTGGATGATTGTTTGAAGATGAAAGCCTTGGCCATAACTAGCCCATTGATGATGAATCGTGATGAATTGCACTAGAATTAATCACGCTATTATTGCTAGCAATAGGGTCAGATCGACCCTGTTACTAACAATCCCTTTCCCCCCTCTGATAATGTATTTAAAAAGTGTTTTTGTTGTCCCTGATCAAGCGACTTGGTTACAACAAACCTTTAAGAAACCACTTAGCTGGTTTATTATTATTTTATTAATAGCTATAACTAGTAACGAGACTATAATAGGTCCTAAAGTAATTGGCAGTAGACAACAACCACAAACAATCTAAACTTGTTAAAGTGATGTTCTACCGATTTAAAAAGATGGAATTTCTCAATTCACTTTTTTTTTATACAACTTAGAATGGCAAACAAGCTGACGGTCCAACTGATAGAAAGTGGTAACCGTCGCCTATAGACTTATATCTATAGGCGACGTATATAATATTTACTATATATAATACTGCTTATGCAGTACCATGGACATTACAGAATATACTGTTTCGCCCATGATACCCCCCATGCGTTGCCATTCCTGAGGACTCGGGTATTATTCCTCTGTACCCTGTAAATTCACGCCATATTCCACCCTTCAAACCGAAACACAGCCATGCAAACGCAACTGCTTTACGGTTGAAACACGAATGGGACAGAGGTACCCAAGCAAACGACTTTTGTACAAAGTCTCCCTCTGGTCAATTTTTTTATGTTTATTACCTCATAACTATATCAGTTATAAACCGAATTAGAAAATTCTTTTTTAGGGTACCACCAAAGGAAAAAACGGAGCCCATAAATAGGATCACTTCGTTGTCCATCCGTCCGTCTGTCTGTTAAGAACCATTTTCTTAGGAACGTGTGGAGGTATTAAGTTGAAATTAATATTATTAGCGATAAGGTCGACCATTGTTATCTCATTGTGATTATTTCTTGTAATTGTTTATATCTATAATAAGTTTACTATTGTAATCTTTTGGAGGAAACAATAAAGAGTATATATCTATCTACTCAGGTCTGTAATATCTTAAAGTAGTGAAAAAAATCAAGCTACTTAATAGACGCAATCAAAAGTTACGGTCGTTTACGTACCATTTATATCGCATATTTTGACATTCGCGAGGGGAATCAAAACCTATAGGGTATTTCCCGTTGACGTGGAATCATGAAATTTCGCAAGAAGCAATGTCATGGAGCGCAAGTAAAAAAAAAATGCTAAAAACGTAAATTTATAGTTACTTCACAAGAAAAAATAAACTAGATAATTTTGTACGGAACCCTCTTTATGCGAGTCCGACTCGCTTTTGACCGGCTATTTTTTATCTAAAAGGATAAGCTTACAAATTGGTCGAATAAAAATTTTATTAAAATTGGTGTAGCAGTTTAGTTTTTTAATTCCAAATAACTGGTTTTGCTACAATTGAAGAATATTTTTTTTTTATAGAACACAATCCTATATTATTTTGATATTTTATCCTGAAAATTACTATTTTTAAGGTAGTCACCCGTTTGAACACTGACTCCATTATATGTTTACATTATATTACTTATTTTGTAACTTATTATCTCTTTTATTGACTTAGCATGCTACTTGCTAAGTATTAATAGGTATAATTTTATATAAATCGTCCAAATATGACTAGCTGTTGCCCTCGGCTTCGCTCGTATATCTTAGTTTTTATTTTCTCACAGAACTTAGAGCCGTCAATCAATCAAACAAACTTATTTTCACATTTATAATCTAATATTACTAATTTTTTCACGAGTTTTTGTCCGATCGAAAAAATAAGACACATAATTATCGTTAATTAATAAATATCGTAGACAAAAAAGATGAACTACGACAAATCGCCATTTGTTCAAAGATGTCTCAATGATCGATAAGTTTAAAACCGGAAGATAGATTAGATAGATACTTGCAAAAACGATTTATCGCTAAAGTAATTTATTTCAGACAACATGTGGGTAGAGGAGAAAAGAAACAAGCGCCAGTTATTAGGTGTAAAAAATTAATCTAATAAAAAAACGCTCATGTTAATAAAACATATGCATACTTTATATATACATATAAGTACTTATAATAGTATATATATACTATCCAGTTGAGCTAACATATACGATCACAGCTTTGAACAAGGACCTATCATATATTCATTCTTGGGCTAAAGCTTTTGGCCTCCTTGTTAATCCATCTAAATCTCAAGCCATTAGGTTTGTTACGTATAAAAGTTTTTTAAAAATTTTATTTTACAATTATTCAGGTAAATCAATTTTATCCCCTTCAAAGTACTCCCCCTGTGACATAATGCACTTGTGCCAACGCCGTTTCCGCTGTGAGAAGGCTCCTTGAAAGTCCTCTGGTTGTAGGTTTCTCAGCTGCCCAGTCGTAGCTTTTTTTATCTCATTTATGTCCCCCAAATGCCGCCCCCGAGAGATTTGGTTTTTGGGAACAAGAAGAAGTCACACGGGGCCAAATCCGGCGAATAGGGGGGTGTTCGGTCACCGTAATGGAATTTTTACTCAAAAACTCACGGACAACAAGAGAGGTGTGGGCAGGGGCATTGTCGTGGTGAAGAATCCAACGCCCCTCTCGCGCCAATTCTGGACGAACACGTGCCACACGAGCTTTGAGGCGTCTGAGCACATCGACGTAGAATTTTCCATCAACTGTCTGGCCTGGATTATTATGGACAATATCGAAAAAAACAATCAACATTGTCTTGACATTTGAGCGGGATTTTCTTGATTTTTTTGTTCGTGGTGATGTCTTCCACTCTTTGCTTTGGGATTTTATTCGACATCAAATTCGTAGAACCAAGACTCAATGATGACTCGGTTCAAAAAGTCACCATTCTCTTCGGCTTCCAACCAGTCCTCACAGCAAGCAACTCTTCGTGATTTTTGATCCGGGGACAAAAGCTTGGGAACGATCTTGGCGCAAATTTTTTTCATTTGAAGTTCGTTTTATTTCGTGGACCACGGTTTTGCCCAAATTAAGCTCTTCAGCCACCTGTCTGACCGTTAAACGACGGTCCCCATTAACACAAGTTCGAATTCTTTCCACGTTTTCGTCGGAATGTGAAGTGGAAGGATGAACGTGGGTCATCTTGAACTTCGGCCCTATATATAGCCATGTACGGTTGGTTCCTTCACAGCATCAATACTGTTCTATATATATACATTATGCCAGTTCGAGAGCTGAACACGCGCTGCTCTTCAACGGAATCATGCCGACGGGGTTTCGTTTGAACAGAGTGACCTATCATATATTGAAGCATTGTTAGGGACATAAGGACATCCTGCGCTTACCTGGCCTCCCCACTCCTCTTTCTCGCATTCCAGAACACTTTTATACGAACTTTCCGGACAGACCTCGTATTACAGGCAGTAGCAGGCTTAGAGGCAAACTCGATATGTCTCAAATGCCGCCACTAGTATATGACAGTGTTCCCTTAGTATACACCGATAAAGTAAAAAACCTAGGTTTAATCATGGACAGCAACTTTTCTTGGTCTTCTCATGTAAACGACATTAGTAAGCGTATGCATTTCTCGTTTCACTCGCTCAAACGACTTCACTATTTCCTCCCTATCAGGACCAAATTTAAGTTGGCTCAAATCTATCCTGCTTCCTATTC